CGGAATGGTACTGGTCGGTAACTTATACGAAAGCCAACAGTCATCTATCATGTCCGGCACATGAGGGGGTTTCTCAATAATTCGATATATTACGCCGTGTGAATCGGGCTCTAGAATGTTGGGAGAGACCTTTTCAACGATGACAGTGGCCTCTTGAACATTGGGAGGGGACTCTTGAGGGATGATAGGGGCCTCTTGAACGATAGGGGAGGCCTCTTGAACGATGACAGGTGAGTCGGGCTTTTTCTTACGGATTCTTCGCACTATTGGGGTGAACAGAGACATAATGGCACGTGCACGCCGTCTGATGCGTGAACTCCGTCTTGCAAGAAAAACCCGACGTAGAGCATCCACCTTAGCGGGCCGCTAAAAATAAATTAATACATAAATCAGTAAATAAACAGACATGATATTAAACAGTGAAAACAAAGACAAATATATTTCAAACTTGCACGGTATTCACCCAAGTCATTATTCTATCATTGTTCACAAAATGCATCAGATAACATTTCAGAAGTAATCAAAACATTTAAAATGACAACATATAGGTTTAGTGCATGTTCAATGACAACATAAAGAGTAGTAGTTTATTCTTGAAACTTAAATTTTCAACACTGTGAATTTAGTATTTATCTTTGTCTTTTGGTTGAAGTAATGCAATTCATTCAAGTTTCAATTTGCAGAAGAAGAATAGAATCTAAAACTTAAAATCGCAACACGAATGACTATCGCAATGCGAATTTGACTATCGCAACGAGAGAATCGCAATGCGATTTTTATTTCGAATTGTGATTCTTTCGTTGCGATAGTCAAATTCGCGTTGTGATAGTCATTTTCGCGTTGCGATAGTCATTTTCGCGTTGCGAAAGTAAACTATTCTTCTTCTGCAAATTGAAACTTGAATGGATTGCATTACTTCAACCAAAAGACAACCAAAAACAAATACTAACTTCACAAGGTTAAAGAATAAACAGTTTAGCAGTATTGGCAGCAACCGAATGAATCTACTAAGCAATCTAAGTGAAATAGTTAATCTAAGTGAAATGGTTAATCTAAGTGAAATTACGAGTAAATTTATCATCAAGTTAAATATGAAAAATATTAAACTTACCTCGTTGCGTAGAGTATGAACCTTATTCTACAACGATGCTACCATCTCACGTAGAGCGGCTACCTCACCACGTAAAGTAGACACCTCAACACACCATGCACCATTGTCACCACGTAAAGTACCGACCTCCTCACGCAAGGCATTGACCTCATCACGTAACTCCCCTAACTTATCCCGTGGAGGTGGAGGTGGAGAACAGGGAGATAAACGTCGTGGCATCTTTGTCGGTCGCCTATCATGAGGTGATGGTGGAGAAGAGGCTCGATGATGTGACAGAATAGGTGATGGCTCTCGTTGTGGAGGTGTATAGTCGGGTCGATCAGGTGATGGCTCTGGGTGAGGTGATGGCTCTTGAAGTGGAGGCTGCTCATCATCTGTGCCATCAAAAAAACGCTTACTAGCTTTCCACTAATCAGTGGCAAGCTCAGCTTCCGTCGGTGTCAGCCTCTGTAATGGAGTGTTGGCCTCCTAACAATATAAAAGCTCAAACAAAGTTAAACGTGTACTAGTAATAACTTGTTTATAAACATATGGTAGTATTTGTGTTAACTTACATTATTTATTGTCGTATACGGTAGTAAATCTTCCCATTGCTGCAAGGTCCGTTTCCTCTTCCAGGAAATAGCCCTAGGAATATCATTAGAAGTTTTTAATGCATATGTCTGCATGGCGGGAAAGGCCTCAAATATCCAAATCTACAAACAATATAATAACAAACATTAGTAATTGTTAAATAATTAATTATAATTTTGGAAACATTATATAAAAATTCTTACCTTAAAGGCCCAAATAAAGCCTGACAAAGTGTATTTTGGAACCATCGCCACGCAAACTTTTTTGATCATCAAAGGCAGACGACAACTTATTCCATGTAACTTTCCATAGATACGAACCCCACGGAAACAGGTTCCATGCATTTAGGTCCTCTACCAATTTAATTAGATCATTAGGAATAGGTTGTCTGGCCTCTCTGCCTAAAAAGTCGGCATGTAAAAGTATTAGAAGGCATACTCTGACAACATCGACGTCATCCATCCGAGTAAAACCATCTTTCTTATTCAATAATCTCGTTAAGTCTTCCACGTGTAAATTCGGCTTCTCCATTGACAGCTCAGGAAAAACCCGGGATAACCATGATAGGCGAGTAATATGTCTAGTGTATCAACCTACATCATCGTGTCCGAAGCGTAGACCGGTGATTAAGCAAAACTCCTCCCGCCCAAAACACATATACGCCGGTGGAAAATCAAACCATATCTCTTCATCACGATGTTGTATAGTCTCTGGTAGATTTCTAGTCATGGTTTGAAGAAACAGATGGGTCAACATAGCATCTCCACCCGGATGTTGTACTTTCAGCCATGGCCCGAAGCAAGTATCCTCAAATATTTTTCTTTGTGCAGGTGAAAGCTTCGACGCAATTGTTTTGGACAAGCTTACTTTATTTCTTAAGGTCAATTGAGCCGAATAAAAGTTCTACAAAAACAATAAACATACCAAGTTAGATATACCAAAAACTACACTATGAAGATATACCAAGAACAATAAACATAAAGAGTAGTAGTTTATTCTTCAAACTTAAATTTGCAACACTGTGAATTTAGTATTTGTCTTTGTTTTTTTGTTGAAGTAATGCAATTCATTCAAGTTTCAATTTGCAGAAGAAGAATAGTTTATGAAACTTAAAATCGCAACACGAAAATGACTATCGCAACGCGAATTTGACTATCGCAACGCGAAACTAAAATAGCATTGCGATTCTGACGTTGCGATTTTCATTTCGCGTTGCAATTCTCGGTTTCAAATACTAAAATTGAAACTTGAATGGATTGCATTACTTCAACTAAAAGACAAAACAAAGACAAATACTAAATTTATAGGGTTTAAAGACTAAACAGTTTAGCAGTGTTGGCAGCAATCGAATGAATTTAATAAGCAATCTAAATGAAATGGTTAATCTATTATTGAAATTACCAGTAAACTTATCATCAATTTCAATATGAAAAACCTAATAATAATGTAAAAATTTCAAAATAAAAATAATTAAAAAAACTAACCCTCGGTGGTTGATTTGGTTGATTTTCCATTTCTGACCGTGAATGATTGTGAGGGTGACTCTAAGAGATGGAGATAGACGGATTTCGTCGGAGATGGGGACTGATTTCGTTGGAGATAGGGACGGATGTCGCCTTAGAGAGTGAGAGATGGAGATGAGACTAAGTTGTGATTTAGGATTTTAGGTTATGAGTTGCGATTACGGGATATACTGTGGATGGTTCAGTGTTCCGATTGGAATTTGAAAAAAAATACGCGTTGCGATAATAATGGCGCTTTGAAAATCGCATTACGATAGTCAGCATCGCGTTGCGATAGTCAGAATCACGTTGCGATAGTCAGAATCTCGTTGCGATAGTCAGAATCGCGTTGCGATAGTCATAATCGCATTGCGATTTATATATTCGCATTGCGATTTATATATTCGCATTGCGATTTACATATTCGCATTGCGAATTCGGAAAATCGCAACGCGAATTTGTAAAATCGCAATGCGATAGTCAGAATCGCGTTGCGAATCTGGAAACTGATTTGCGATATCGGAGATCGCGTTGCGAATTATCGATCGCATTGCGATTTAGTTGGTCATTTTGGCAAATCCAAAAAAAGTTAGTTAAAATCATATATTATAAGGCATTTTTGGTCACTGAGGTTAATTTCTCATAAAATTATATTCAACGTAATTAATAATTATTTAAACACTTTATATTAAATTTTATATAATCTTGTTTTAAGCCCAAAGAAATGCCCTTGACAATATTAAACTGTATTATTTTTTAAAATCTACTTTTAAATGGGTAACAAACACACACACACATATAGTTTTCTTTATCAACGAACTTTGACGTCTCGCATGTATGCCTTTGATGCTGCGTTGGAGGTCTTGTTTGAGAAAGGTTTCGTACGTCTTGTCAATTTTAACCAAATTTAAAATTAATATAATTCAAATCGTTAAAATTAAGTGCGTTTAGACTCTTATATTATCGGTTCGTTCGGTTTAAGTCATTCAGACATTAACTTTCTATGCATGTGCTTTTTCTTTTTCTTCTTTAAAAATTAAGGGTAACTGGTCTTTTACATTATCAGTTTGTTCGGTTTAAGTCTTTTTGTTATTAATTTCCGTTAACTCCCTTTTGTTTAAGTCTCTTTTGTTTAAGTCCCTAACATGGTTGAGAGACTAAAATCGAACAGATTGATAACGTTAGAGACCATTTTTCCTTAATTTTGAAATTGGTGACCAAAATCGGTCAAATTGAAAACATAGGAGACTATTCGCATAGTTTACCCTTTTTTATTTTTTATTTTTCAATTAATACTTTCGTTAATTTGTTAACGGGAGTTAACGACCGAGGGACCAAAATCGAACGAATCGATAATGTAAGGGACTAAAATCACTTTTTTTTTTGAATCGGTAACCAAAATCGGACTGATCGAAAACATAGGGGACCGTCCATATAGTTTACCCTATAATATTTATTTTTATTTTTTATTGACATGATATAAAGATAAAATAATTGACATAAACATTTGAAATATTGACATTAATTTAACAGTTCTATTATTGTTTCATCTTATTTAGATTATTTTGAGAAATTTAAAAGTTCGAGATCAAAATATATAAAAAATATTTAAGGATAAAAATAACAAAACTGATAAAGTTACAGGGTAAAATGTCATTCTACCCTTTCCCTAATAATATCCTGTTTGTATTATCATTCACAGCCTTATAATAGAATATATTTATGAAAAAAATAAATACAGCCACGTTTTTCATTTTGAATTTTCGGCTTTTCGCTATATTTTTTTATGTTCCCGATACTTCCTTCAAAACTTTCCCCTTTTTCTTCCCTCCAACTTCGCAACGAAATCGTTAATTACCTGCGGCAGGCTTTCCCTTTCTCCTCCGACATCGAAGTGTAATTTCCCCTTTTTTTGTTCTAATTTCTTTAGGTAGTTCTGTTACTTTTTTGCAACTTAGATTTTACATTTGTAAGTTCTTTTGATCCAATTCATGTCAAAATTGTCTAGTATTGGAGACGGTGTTGAATTTAGCCTTCATATTTAGATTTCATTAAGTTTTGTGGTTATACTTTCATTTTTTGTTGATTATTGGATTAAAACTGATGGAAATCAACTAAACTGGGTCAATTACATTAACAAATTGTTCCGTGAAATATTCTAATCCTGTTAATTTTTATTTATTGGATTTGAAAGTGTAGTTGGAAAATTAGATACAGATTTTTTATCCGAAGCCCCCTACTTCTCTGTGATGAACTGTTCCAAATTAATAAGCCATGGGAAGCAAATTTTAGTATTATAATTTATATTTATTTTTTTTATAAAATAATCAATGTTTAAATCTTCAACAATAGAATAGTGGGACTATAGATAGAGATGAGATAAAAACTAAGCTGGGAAGTGACAATATTGAGGTATGTATTAGTGGAGTGTGTTTTTGTTCAAAAATGAAGAATTTTTTCTTTCTAAATTCTGTTTTTATTTCTATAATTTTATTTGGCGTTTGAGTTTGACTTGCTTTGATATATGAATCCGGCTTGTGACCCTGAAGTGCTTCGATCTGATTGCATCATATCAGTGATAATTTGCTTTTGTTCATGCAGTTATTTCTACATTCTAGTTTCATTGTATAAATCCTTTCTTTTCTTCGTGTGCAGTCCAGTTTTGGCATCCTTTACAGCAAGATCCAATAGTTTGTCTGAACGTATTCAGTATGAAGTTCTTAGAATACACTCCGCTGGACCGGTAATTTTCAATTATTAAAAACGGAAGTGTAGCAGATTTTCCTCCCCCTTGGTTCTTAGATTCATGATCTTTGTCACTTTCTGCCTTTTGATTTGAAGTCTGACTTAATTTGTATCTTATTTTCTAGAATAAATGGTTTCTTGAATGATTTAAACCTCGGTGAGCGTACCATCAAAGGAAGCCTTGAAGCATACTCTTGTAAGTTCACCTACATAAGTTGTCCCGTTGATTTTGGAGATATTTGATTCAAACTCCGTTTTCCCCATGCTTCTAGGCAAACACACTGGGACAGATAAAAGACTCTCTCTCAGTTTGGAGAATGAGGTTTTGAGAACATACAAATATCATGTGAATGATCCCTGTTTCTTTAGAATTTTATTACTGTTGAGGGGTTTCTGATGTTTGTTTCATATCAGATCCTTGACTATCTTGGGAAATCCTCAGATACCGACTCCTGCTCGCCAGTTGAATTCCTGTTGAGCAGATCAAGGTTGTAAATATTATATGCAGTTATACATGGTTTCCTTTTTGTTTTCATTCATATTTATTTGACCAGATTTTTATCATGTGCATTTCAGCCGGAAGACATTGATCTATTTGGTGCTTACCCTCTATCACATGTATCCTGATTATGACTTCAGGTATCTCTGTATATGTCTCATCAGTACATTTTCATCAAAGAGTGTTTAAAGGAGGATTATGGGTAATGCCACTGTCAGCTTATTGGGCGACTTGACAACCCACTATATAATCTTCTTTTAATTGCTTTGGGAGTGTTGTCAAAAGGTTTTGACGAACAGTTCAGCCTACTGTCGCTCTAGAAGGAGCTGAGAGTTCAATTCTCTCCATTTCCCAAATCTAATCCTGCTGATTATATGGGTTTGTTTGTGTCTGATTCAAGTGATTTTTTGTGCCATTGAGTGCTTTATACGCTTTCATGTCTGCGTTGATATGGTTCCCTTATATTTTGGTATTGCATGTGCCTTTGTGGTTTCCAGTGCAGTTAAAGCACACCAGTTCTTCACAGAGGAAAGCTGGGATACCTTTAAACAGATTTTTGATACCTTCATGGTTGAAGCGTCAAAGGTATTGACATAAGTATTCATTTATCCACTTGACATGGATCTCAAAAGTTTACAAGCCAAAATTGTGAGAGAGAGAATATGCATTTCCTCGAATGATTTAACTTGCAGTTACTATTTTTGCACTCACCTATCTTCTGTTCTTGCGGTGCTTATATTAGTCATGAATATAGCTTACGTGGTTTTGGTCTAGAATTTGTCCATTGGTTGTTTCATGAATGAGTCATGACCCTTGGTGCAAATGTTTTGTTGTGTGCATGTCATTTGGGGTGGAAGAGAGGGATGTGGAGGAGATGCTGCTGGTGTTGATGGTGGTTTGTAGTATGCTAGACAAGCGATTTCTAGCATTCATTCGATTATGATATCTTCCGTAAATAAGTTGCTTTGCATTGCTTGTAAGTTTATTGCTTCACATCATTGACAGGAATGGGTTGAGACATATGGAGGCAGCTCACTACTGGAAACAATTTATAAGGCTCTAGATGAGGTGAGCGTGGTTTCTAAATGCCTAATGCAAGTCTCAGCAGGTGGTTATTTTAAAATACCGGGTAATGCAGGTTGTGGAACTCTCAGAGTGTGAAATTTATAGTTATAATCCAGATTCCGGTGCAGATCCCTTTCTAGAGAAAGGAGCTATGTAAGTGTGTGTGTGTGTGTGTGTAATTAATACATCAATGAATTGCCCTTGGGCCATAATTGATCATTAATAGTTGGGGATTTATGCTTCCAGATGGTCCTTCGGTTTCTTCTTCTACAATAGGAAACTAAAGCGTGTAGTGAGTTTCAGCTTTTGCTGCTTAAGGTGTGTCTGATTATGTCCCTGAAAACTTATAGCTATTTACAAGCTTCGGTGATTATCTTTAGGACCTTATTACCATATGTTGTTCCCATCAGTAACTTGGTGGCCGATGGTTTTGTCGCTGACAACTTGTGTTACGAGGAAGATGGTGAAATATTCGATAACATGGACATATGATCACTTTACATATTTGTTGCACAATGTGTCGATACCCTTTGACATCGGTGTGTAGTTAGTTATGTTCCATAGCATATTGCTCGCATGAGCCGAGCAGACTTGATTTTCTGCTTTGCTGTGTATATGTAGTCTATTACCCAGACTTGGAGTTCGAGTACTGACGTGAGTATGTTCAATTGTTTTTAAAGTGTTTTCTTATGTTTGGAGGTTTACATTTATGTAGTGATGTTAGAATAGGACAGATGCTGGACATGATATTGTGTCATTTCGTCAATTGAAGTTCGGCTTTTGCTCATTTTATATTAAGGAGATGACGGTTAGACACGTTCTCTGTATGACCCTAGTTCTAAAAGTCAGCATTAAATCAACTTCAAGTAGGCTTGTAAACGAACCCAACGAACATGAACGAGGGTATGTTTATGTTTATTCATTTAATTTTAACTGAACAACGAACGAACATGAATTATTAAATGAACATAATTTTTGTTATTGTTCATTTGTTAAGGAAAAAGCTTGTTTGTGTTTGTTTGTTAAAAACGAACTCAAACAACACAAATGAATGCATACGAACATAAATTTAAACGATTTTGGGTTTTTTTAATCTATCGTGAAATGAAAGGGATAGTGAGTTGCTGGGTGAGAAATACATATATGATTTTTTTTTTTTTTGAAAAAAACATATGCAAATAAATTTAAATGAATATAAATCAATGTATTATTGAATGTTCACAGATAAATGAACGGATGAGTCTTTTATTTGTCTTTTTATTTAATTAAATGAGCAAAGAAATATATTCATGTTCAATTTAACAAATATAAAAACTTATTGAATAATTCGTTGAACGTTTGGTTCGTTTACAATCCTAACTTCAAGTGCAGCTGCTGAAACCTCTAGATTTATGATATTTTTGTTGAATACATCCAATAACCTGATGCACGAAAACAAACGTTGAATCAAATTATCTGCTATAAGTTTAAACAATGTGCTATAGAATCTAATATGTATATGTGAAACGCCCGAAGAAAATTAGAAGGGTAGAAAATTAAAGATAAACACGTAGAATGATATAATTTTTTTTAATCTTTCTCTCTATTGATGTGCTTCATTAAAAAATTGAAAGAGGTTTTAAAAAATAATTTTAAACTCACATTTTCATTTTTTTATTACAATTTTTTGAAGTTGCATAAGGCCCGGCCCACACAACTATCCAATCAAAAATATTAAATAAGTTGAAAGATTAATAAATGGGCTTAAATATAAAATAAGTGTTCAAATTATATCGCTTTTCACAAATAGGTGCTTACAGTATTTTTTTAATCACTTAGGTGTCTAAATGTTACAAACGTTACAACTTTAGGTGTCCGGTTCGTAACTACCATTAATTTTCTCGGTTAAGTGACGTGTGTTGTATTTTGATAATTTTGATTTTTTTTAATTAAAAATATTATTATATTTATAAAAAAATATAATTTCTCTTAAATTAAAAACAAAAACTCAAAATACATAAAAAATCATAACCCTAACCATCTTCGCCGCCCTTTATGGTCACAACCACTACCGTCAACTTAGTCTCTGTCATTCTTCTAGCCATATGTTGTCTTAATTGCTGCCAATTGACCGTCGAAATCGTGTGTGATCACAATTTTCATCCTAGGTCCTGTGGGGTACAAAACGTTAATTGGTCGTCGATCAGCCCCAATTTCATAGGGATATTGATCGTTGGAGGTAGGTGAGGTCGTGTAGAGCTTCGTCAATGGTAAAGGACGGCGACCGATGTGAGTTTAGGGGTTGAAATGAAAGTTTTCAAAGTTTTGGAGCTATTTCAAAATTTTGTGTGTTTTTTTAATATATAATTTTAATTTTAAATTTTAAATAATTTTTTTAAAATTATCAGAATGTGACACATGTCACTTAACGGAGGAAATTAATTGTGCTTACGGTCTGGATACCTAAAGTTGTAACGTTTGTAACGTTAAACACCGAGATCATTTAAAAAAATATTGTAAGCACCTGTTCGTGAAAGACGATATAGTTTGCGTACATATTTTATATTTAAGTCTAATAAATTTGGAGCACTTGCTTAAAATAATTAAATAAAGTTGGACCACGTTAACTGGACTATAAAAAAGGTCAATGACTTGCGTCCATAAAGTTATAGGCTTAATCTTTATATAAGAAGAAATAAGGATGAATTTTCATTTGAGTCTGAATTTGAGAACAAGTGATTTGAATGTAGGATGTCACTGTTAAACATATAATCGTATGGATTAATTTATTTTTATAACAAAGCTTTTACTTTATGTTTAAATTGTAAGTGATTACTGAATTTGCATTTTTTTTAAAATAAATGGTTAGAAAGTTTCAAAGAAGAAATATGATTATAAATAATGATCTAATAAATAAATGCTCTATCCTTTATTTTTTTCCCCATCATCCAATCAGGTGATTAATAATCTTTTTAAGTCACTAAATTATATATATATATATATAAGCGTATGGATTATCATATGAATATAATATTAATATTAGGGAAGCAGTAGGTTATGAACAATGCATTAATTTTGTAAAATAAAGTAAAAGATTCTTGGATGGTATCACTTTCCTGTTTTGGCATGTATGAGATGGACCCAACTGCTCTGAGTTGGTTCACCAGATTGCATGGTTCCATAGATAAAAAAGCAAACAAATAAATAATAATTATGACGTTATGATGACATCTTAACTCAAAAGCCATCTGCTATTTTCAACAATCTTTTAAAATTATTAATTTAACATACTTTTTAACAAAAATTCAAGGTATTAAATTTGTATATTTTTTAATATTATAAGATATTGTAAGTACATCAACACAAACTAAAACTTTTTAAGAATAATAATATTCTTTTAACTGTAATAATTCATTTATATATACTTTTTAAATATTCTTTCATAAAAGATTAGTAAACGGATAAGGTTTGAATATAATAATATTATATCTCAAAAGGAACTGTCACACTCTCACAATGAATAAAATGATCATGTTTGTTTTATAACCCTAACAAACTCCGAATGGAAAAAGAAAAGAAAGTGTGGTAGAGGTGGAGGTGGAGATTGGGTATTTGAAAGACTAAAAGGAATAGAGGGTCGGTGTTTAATCTCCACTCAATTTTTCTTACATATACTTTTATTATTCAAATGACGAAAAGAGGATATAATCATGAACGAATGTAAAATTTTATATCAAAAGGGTTAATCCATATAATTTTAAGAGAATATAAATTCATAAAATTTTAGAGGATAAAAATATATTATTAATAAAAAATGATTATAAATATGTTCTCATGGAAAGTTAAAGAATAGCTAAAAAATAGTTATTAAAATCAACCCTCTACTTATTTATTTTGAAGGAATCGCTCCATTATACATCATCTTCATGACTTGCTTAAGTCGTGATCACGATCCAAATTTTACAAAAATTGTTTTCATAAAAAAACAACTTTTTATAACCTTTTTCATTAACATGATTAAAGTTTTACGAAGAAACGATGATACGTCGAAACAAGGATGGATCAAGGAGGTGGGTAGAGGTTGTCATTCATCTTGAAAATTTAAAATTATCATATATTTTAGATTTATTTTATATATTATTGAAAATTTATTTTTGTTCCTAAAATTTTACAAATTTGTCCCTTCATAAGATTTTAAAAGTTTATCCTTTAAAATAAAATTTTACATCTATCGTTGTGAAGAACATTTAATTTTAGACATTCGAGAAAAGGATAAGGAGAGATCTAAGATGGAATGAATGATACAATTGATTTATAATTGAAGAAATTAAACTTTATTATCTCTTATTTTATTTATTGTACTTTTAATTTTTCAATTTATTCATTGAACTTTTTAGATTGGATTTTTTTGATCACTCGACTGTTTTATCTCTAACAACTGGATGACGTGGAATAATTTAATATTTGTCATTCCTCTTAAAAATTTAAAATTATCATACATTTTAGATTTATTTTATATATTATGAATTGAAAATTTATTTTCGTTTTTAAAATTTTATAAATTTATCATCTCCTAAAATTTTAAAAATTTATCCTTTAAAACGAAATATAAAGGAAAATGTCATGCCGCATCCTGTTCCCACACCAAAAGCCAGTACTACTTCGGAAGTGGAAATTGTGGGAGGGGAACAAGAGACAGTGAGGGTTTGAAGGGGAGATTGTGATGGGTTTTTTTTTTTTTTTGTGAGGGGGGGGGGCGGTGAGGGTGGGGGTAAGGAATAAGGATTTAGGAGAGAAAAAAACCTCCGATAACGGTGATTGAAGGTGGTCAAAATAGCGACTAATATGGTGGTTAGATTCTAAATTGGTTGAGAGAGAGAGAGAGAGAGACAGAAAAGAAGAATAATTACGAAGACATGAGAAATTTTTTAAAAAAATTCAAACAAAACGATTTTTTTGTAAAAAAAATAATTTTATGTATGAATCTAAAACGGCTTTATTTTGGTGTAGATGGTCATGTCATAATATCGTTAGAAAGTTAACGGCTGTGTTTTTAAAAAAATTCAATCTATTAGATTTAGTGAGTAAATTTAAAAAATTAAAAGTAAATTGAATGAAATTGGAGAGAGAAGAGTTTAGTAAATTAATTTCTAATTTACCCTTGAAAAAAATTGGTGTGCTGTGCACGTACTTCGAGTTTCTTTCTAAGGGGAGAAAAAAAGGAAGTGGAAGGGGCACAACATCCACTTAAAAGCTCTGCAGTAAACACGCGCGTCGGACGACAGCCCCATGATTTAGCAACAGCCCAAACTTTGGAGCAGAGAGCATGCACTCATGCCCCTAATATTTATCATTTAATAATTGGCAGAGTCCGAGATTCCGCGGTTTTAAATTTTAGCGTAAACTATACGAATGATCCTTCGGTTATAGAGTAATATTTTATTGAATCTTCAAATTATTAAAAAATATAAAATGGCCTTTTAACTATAGAACGTTATTTTATTAAGTCCATCGACTATTAAAAGTTATAAAATAGTCACATGACTACTAATATGCTCCAAACTCATTCCTTTTTTGTTAAAAATTTGATGACCGTCTTAATTGGACTTTAATTTATTGATTTATATATGATAGTCGTTTGAGATTTTGAGATCATATATTATCATATCACACTCAACAGGATAACGTCTAGCTCAGACTCCCGTCAACTTTTTTTTAAATGACAAATTTGGAACATATGAATAATCAAGTGACTATTTTATAACTTTTAATAGTCATAAGACTCAACAAAAAAATACTCAATAATTAAAAAATTATTTCATAACTTTTAATAGTTGAAATATCCGACAAAGCATAAGAAACCTATTAAATCATGTCAATTGTCGATTCTCTTCTCAAAAGCATCATTGTATGTTGATTTCAATCCTTCCCAACACCTGCTTTTTATCCTGAATTCTCCATGCTTTGTTATTAGATAGCTTATCCATTACGTGTGATTCCCATCAGCATCCATCCTTAAACTTTATTTGCATGTTTACTGTACATTTCAGAACAATACTGTAAATTATGTATTAAAATATTTTATAACGTAGACTTGTATAAATAATGACTAATTTAAAAATATTTTTAATATATATATATATATATATATATTAACAATAGAAAATTTTATACGCCGAGTGATGAAATATATGTGTAATAGTCAGTTGTTGATTCTGTTATAACTTATTAAAGTCAGTTGGGTTTGTTAGTTATGAGCTGGGCTTATTATAAATACCCATTGTATCTTTGGTTATGTAGGATTAACTTTTCAATATACCTCCTTTTGTTAAATAATTATTAGTGAACTCTTTGACCTTTCTTTTTTACTTAATTTCTTTTTTCAGTTGCGGATACAAAATATTTTTTAGAGCTGACATATGTATGTATTAATAATATAAATTTTTCGTATGGGTAGGCACAAATAAAATTTTAGGGTTAGACATCAATAATAAAATAAACAACTAACATAAAAAAAATTAGATTCCAAGGTGAGCATGTGCCCACCCTAAATTACACGTATGTCCGCCACTATCTGCTTTGTTGTTAATAAAGCTTGTACTAACTCTGTTGTTGAATTATCCTTCGATCATCAGAATTCCATTTAATATTAGAAAAAAATATATAATTATTAGTAGAAAATTCATATTCTAAAATAGACATGTGTCCGTCCTCACCCAAACATGACTCTATCGATGCATGGGAACAAAAGTAATTTTTTTAAGAGACATTAATTGATCTAGTAAGATAATACACTATATATCAAGTTACTATTAAAATATACAATTGTCTAGCTTTATTTTTTTATTAAAATAATATTTAGATATTGCTTTGTATTAATTTAACAAAACATTACAAATTTTATAATAAGAAGCCAAATTAAAATTTTTAAAATTTTTGGAGGCCAAACACAAATAATCACATTTTTATAGTTTGTTCATATTGAATTCAGTTGACTTTGTTTTGCTATTTAAATAATTATAAAATAACATTTTTATAATTTAGTTAAAATTAAATCCAAAATTCAAAATCACCTACCAAAAATATTTCCATATGGTTGATTTGACTTTGATGTGAGTTGGTATGTATAATAATGTAAGAAGTAAAGAGGGATACGTCGTTGCCCAAAAGTGTTCCACTTTTATTTTGTCAACCTCATTAAAACTCGACTTAATTAGAATAAATTAAATGTTTTTAATTTGATTTAATGTCAAAAATTCACTACATTTATATTAACTTTTAATTTTATAGACTCGACTCAATAAATTTTAAATTAGAATTAAATTATAAATTAAAATTTTAAATGATTTTAAATTTTAAATAATTAATAGATTTATTTTCAAGTTCAATTCAACTCCTTTAACTTTGCATGAGATATATATATCGTATATGAAATAAATATAAGAAATATGTGTATATTATATATGATTATATACAATCTTTTAAATTAAAATCAAATAATACTATAAAATTATAAATATTAACAATTAAATTTAAATATAAACTCAATTTAATAAAAAAATATCAAATAAAATTTAAATTATAAAATATAAAATATCCTCAACTAACTTAAATCTTTTAATTCAATTTGATTAAACTAGATCGAATTTTACCTTATTGACACCTGTATTTAGTCAAGTGAAGTGAAGTCAATTTGTTTTCTTGCTGCCTTCCGAGTCTTGCTATTCTACGCGTTTGTCGGCGAGTGGAAGAATGAGGGTATCCCACTACACCCTAAAACTTCTGTTCTATTATTTCTGTCAATTAATTTGACATGATTTATTTTTAAAAACCATTAATTTGATTATATTTCGTATATACTTTTGACTTTTTGTACAGTTGGACAATGCACATTAAGGAAAAGAAAAAGGAAAAAAGTTGTAATATATTTGTTTAACTATACAAAGTTTATACGGTATATAATCGTATGTTTTCGAAAAAAACAAACCTCATCACTTAATCGAATTGAAGTGATTTTTCATTAGGGTGAACATTCGATTGAGTTGAGTAAAATAAGAAAAATTAAGTTATTCGAATTGATGAGTATATTTTACAACTAAAATATTATTTAAAAATTTTTGAGTCGATTTGTTTGAGTTTTTATTTAAATTTAATTGTAAATATTTATAATATTATAATATTATTGATTATACTTTAAACGATTTTCTATAAGTATGCACAATATAATATATATATATATATATTCATATTTTTTTCATATATGATATACATATATTATACATAATCGAGAGTCTCGACTCAAATTTAAAAACTAATCCATTAATTATAATTTTTTGAATTATTTGATTTATCATTCGATATATTCAAATTTTTTTTGGTGAACGAAGGAAAGCTATCTTCTATAGCTAACTAAATCAAGGCAACATCTTCCGGGAGCAGACTTGCCACAGCCGATGGTGAAGTTCATAGACAATGCACTTCTAAGTCGGATGGAGACGCATATTTTGCCAGGGAATTGGCCAGTCAGTGAGTTGAGTCGAGTTTATTAAATTATAATCCAAAGTCAATTTAAATCGAGGTTTTTTTAAATAAAAAGGTTTAATTTTTCAAATCGAGTCGAATTTTATTATCCCTTAATTATTGTGGCTGGGTCTTGTTGCCTCTGCTCCATAAACGCAATGCATCCCCAAGTAGACGTGGTTTGGTAGAGGGGGTATCTTTATTAGTGGTCCAGAAACAGCGGACGATGTTGTCGCAATTTTCATCAAAAGCTCAATATGCATGAAATCGAAACAATGTAGTGTTGCCTTCATGTTTGTCTTCGCGCACACCACAAGTGTCCACCATGACTGGGCAATGGTCCGAGATGGAGTTCGGAACGTGATAGATCATGGAACGCGGGAATAACTCCCATCAAGTTAAGCTCGCAACACTACGATCAAGTCTTTCTCGAATGTTGTTCGTGGTTAATCTACTCCTTTCTCACGTGTACCATTGGGCATTGTAACCCAAATCAGAGAGTTCGCAGTCTTGCAATGTTGATCTGAAGGCTTTCGTACTCTTTTTCGATCTCACTCGTCCTCCTTTACCGCATAACTAGTTCTGACAATATATCAACGCTTATACAATTGAAAGATGAAGTATATTACTTTGTGCATTCATGAATCTCCCGTCAATAATAAAAGTAGACTCTGAAATAATAATACTAATTAATATAGTAAAATTATCTTAAGATCTTAAATTCGAACAGTTACATTTGTAGAATGTAAATTATCGATGATTAAAAGAAGATTATGAGCATATAATACTTTATAATAACCCAAAATATTAAGAAAAAACCTCTGGTAATAATTTGCTCAAAAAAAATTAAGTCTCAATTGTCCTTCACCATTTCAATGTATCAAAGTTCTTTTTTTTAGGAGTGAACTACTTCCAAATAACAATTTATAACACCCTAAATCTAAATTAAAATCAACTTGTATGAAGTTGTACTAATTTAATCAAAGGCTTGGATTTGTTATATTAAAAATATAATAACGTCTTTATTATTTTATATAATTCGATAAAATTACTTTTTCGTTAAATATTAAACAAATACATAATAAAACACTCGTAATTAACAAATCAAACATATGTAAAGGAAAAATAGTATCAATTTGAACTCACAACACATTGACTTTGTCTCTTCAGTGCATCCATCATTAACAAATGAAAGTTTATTTATTTTTCAAGGAAACATTATAAAAAAGAAAGAAAGAGAAACTAGAAATAAAGTGATGGAATTTCCTCATTGTTTCTCTATATTTTATTTTTTTTCCTTTCCCTCCTCTTATGTGACATTGAGAATTTAAGAAACGAAAAAAAGAACAAAATTATAAAAGTTCATATGTCCAAGAATCATAGTCAACACCCCTTGTTGGGCTCTGAATTAGAGGAGATGATAATGAATCAAGACCTAGCTTCGTATCACTATCATCGTCATTATTGATTAGCAAATCCCAGCTGCTGAAATCATCAATATCCCACAAGCTCAAAGTGTTGCTACCAGTATCGGTGGTGGTGTGGTCAGAGGGCCATTCAAAATCTGCAGGAAAGTAGTGCAAATATTCAAGGAAGTTGGAAGAATTTGTACCCGAAGAAGAACATAACGACGAAGAAGAAGATGTGGATGGAGGAGCAGAGACCAAGATTTCATGGGGTTCCATCAATGGAACTTCATCAATGGAAAAAACATCAATATTATTATTATTGTTCATCGTTATCATCATCTCCATTGGGTCAAATAATGTGCTTGTCAGGCTCTTATCTTCCACTTTTGTTTCAGCCTGCTTGGATTTGTCAACTTGCTTCTTTTTCTCCTGCTGCTCTTCAGCTGTCGATAATGGCTTGTGGGTGAGTGGATCGATGCCCATTTCCCTCAGCTTCTTCTTGATGTGAGTGTTCCAGTGGTTCTTGATCTCATTATCAGTTCTTCCAGGGAGATGAGAGGCAATCTTAGACCATCTGGAATTGTCAAAAAACTAAATTATTAAAAATAAAAAATAAAAAGCAAGTGCGAAGATGTAAAGTAAAACGATGAGTTGAAATTTGGGACCATTACAAAAAAAGGATGACTTTTTTGTGGCCACAAGAAATTTTCTCCATTCCTCTAAAGCTTCCATGGTTTTCAAAAATGAATGAGCAGTGATGGAAAGGGAAATGAACCTGTTGCCAAGTTGAGCATGGAGTTCAATCACCATTTGCTCTTCATCTTCAGATAAAAGTCCTCTTTTAAGGTCTGGTCTCAAATAATTTGTCCATCTCAGCCTGCAACTCTTACCGCACCTTAACAAACCTGCAAGCTTAGGAACAGCTCGCCAGCAGCATTGGCCATTGGTGAGGATGAAGGTGACGAGCTTCTTATCTTCTTCAGCCGTCCATGGCCCTTTCTTCAGCCCTACTTTATCACAACATGGTTGCCTTCCCATCTTTCCCAAAGTAATGTATCCGATTTTACCCAGAGAAAAAGAAGAAAGAAATAATCAGTGGAAATGGAAGAGAGCAAGCACAGAAAGAAAATGGAACTCTTTGATGCACTGATCACAAAGCACAAACACAAGTTCCCACCTGGGTTTTTATAAATGAATCCCCTCACGTGCATATCAATGAAGCAACGCGTAACACACGTGCGATCTCTCTTCATGAAAGCTCTTCATCAAACTTAGGTTATGTTTATTTTATTCACAACAGTTTACAAAAAATAATTTTTAGAAGATGAATTATTATTTAAAAAATATGATAAATTTATATTTAAATAATTATGTAGCACGTAATATAAAAATATTATAATAATTAATTTTAAAAAGAAAAATATTAAGATTAATATATCTAATTTGGTTTAAATTAAATTTTGATCTAATTTATTTATAAAGAGTTATTTAAAAAAACATTTTACGTTCTTGAATTTTTTGAGACAATTTGCATAAAATGAATTAATTTCATTATTTTTCGTTGTTCAAATTATTTTTCATGAAAGAAACACTAAAAATATAAAAAAAAATTATCTGTAAATATTTTCTACAAAACAAACACATTTTTATTTTTATTTGTTTTATTGAGCTAAAGGTGATTACAAGATAGTATATGTTCTAAGTACTATCAATCATTTGACAATAAACGCTCAATCACCATTGCAATCGCTAGTGCTCAAACTTATGACCTCTAGGAACAACAAAAATTATTTGACAATAAATGCTCAAACACACTTTCATTTTTATATGTATATATATTTCTTTCTTTCGGTTTCATGCATGAGATTTAGATATACTATAATTAACACATAAAAGTAAAAAAAAAAAAAACTAGAATATTTAACTTAGGTTCGAAAAGATCTACGTAAGGTATGAAAGTAAGATTGTATAAAATTTCAATGTATTCTTTTAATTATTGCTTGTAGACTAATTTGAGTATGTAAAAATTTGTTTACTTTTGTCTGATAGCCTTATGTACCAAGTAAAACTGTTCCATTTTCTACTTCTACCAAAAGTAGGGTTTGTAGTGGGATTATTGTTGAGACACCATAACCAACAATTTTATCATATAAATTTTGTTAAATCGGCTCAATCAGAGATGAACACAAGATTTTATATTAGAGTATGAATATTTAAACTTTTAGGAGATAATAAACTTATAAAATTCTAAAGAGGACAAAAACATATTTTCAATAATATATATAGTTAATTACATCAAATATCCTCAAAGTATGACCTTCATTCTATATTGATCTCCAAACTTTTTGAACATTCCAATTTCATCCCAAACTATACGTATATACTAATCACATCCCTTGTTTATAAAATTATTAGGCCAAGTTATATTATTATATGTTAAGAAAACAAAATTTAGGTTAAACTATGGTTGAAACTAATTACATATTTAGATGAATTTGGGGATGTAGTTAGAATATTCAAAAGTTTGGGGACTAATTTTGAAAGAGGGTCATATTTTAGGGATGAAATTAAAATGTTTAAAAGTTTAAAGACAAATTTAGAATAAGAGTCACAGTTTGAGGATAGAATTAGTATATTCAAAAGTTTAAAGACCAATTTAAAATGAAGATTATAACTTAGGAGATATAAGATACAATTAACTCTAAAATACACGATGATTTGAAATTTTCAATGAATGAATATCTCCTATAACCCCTCGATCCATCCCAACATCTCACCCTTAAGTTTTCAGCATGTTAGCTTGTTTCTCACACAAATTTGTCAATTTCTTTACTTGATACGATGAATCAAAAGGAAGAACAATAAAAACTATATTAATCAAACGATATTCCTCCACAAATTGTTTTTCTTAATATCATTATCATCTTCCTTTGTTTGTACAAATCTAAAACTTAGTTTTAAATTCTCGTCGATCTTATCAGTCAACTTCTTATGTATCAATGTCGAATTATAGCTCTCTTCTTTATATGATAAGTCCATCTTTTTTTTATCTTCTTTGATATGTGTACGATTCATTTTTTTTTATATACAGATTGCTTGTCACTTCATAACTAGGTAAGAATGCAGGGTTTTATATTACGAGACAAACTTAAAATAGTATGAGAAAATTATAAAATTTTAGGAGGACTAAAACATATATTCAATTAAAAATATTTAAAATATACAAAAATTTAAAATTTTCAAGAAACGATTATATGCACCCGCTCATTCTAGATCCATCATGTCAGGACCATAGCTACAAATGCATTCAACCTCAACGATTATGAAAGTTTTGTATTTAATTGGTATTGGTATATGTATCACTCGTGCCATTGGGAAGATTCAACAATGAAATTCAATTGGTATTGTTATTTGTTTATGGTAAGTGTCTTATCGTGGATTGTTGTATTCAGTGCCATTCTCGGTTGTTGTATCCCACTGCGTACGGTGGTTTGTTACGAGTTAGGTAAATAAATGACTGTACAATAGAAATGAGACACAAATTTATTAAAAAAAATTAAAAGAGAATTATGAAGAGAAATTCATTATAATCTTAACATTATAAAAGGTTTGCACCTTCAAAGGTATTTTGGTTTCTAAGTCTTAATCAACAATCTCGATCTGTATTATCTATTTATAATATTAATTATTTGACGAAAAATAAATTATAGATTATAAAAAAAAATCTTATTTGCTATAAATTTTTACGTTCAATAAAAAAAACTAAATGTAACTCCATAAACTCATCAAACCTAATGTGCCGCTTTAATTTTTTTTCTTCTTCATCATAATACGATAGCATTTATACACTTGAATTCATGAAAAGTCATAGTAGCATTAAAATATGTTTACAAAATTAGAGCTTCATTTAACCAATATTACTCAAAATAAATTCTAAAATATAAATAGGATGACAAACCAATTACATGAAAGAGTTTTATAGATATAAATGCTCACTATAGTACTCAGGTCGTACCCTGAAAACGGATATTAAAAATGCTACGGTGACAATGTTCCACGAACTAGTCGAGTCTACTAACATTCAACGGAAACATTTGAACTTTAGTTTCACAAGCTCAATACTATATTACCAATCTAATATATATCATGAAATTCATAAACATAATCATGCTAACAATATAAATAATGAGCAATGAGTATAAGCATGATATACGGTCACTAAAGTCGCAGAAATAAATACATATATAACATAAATATATAATCGTTCACTAAGGTCTTTAAGGTCGTTTAGATAGATATCCAACTGTCATTAAGGCCGCATAGATATATATATATATATATATATTTTGTTTATAACTTAAATCATATAGATAGATGCATAACATAAATATATAATCGTTTGTCTTTAAGGTGACACAAGTAAAAACATTTACGCCACTAAGGTGAATAAGTAAATACCCTTTTAGGGTGCGTTTGGTTCACGGAATATAAGATTACCAGTGGGAATGTAAGATTACCAAGGAATAGCATTACTGGGAATGTTGTATTTTGTGTTTGGTTGGCTTAGCAGGAATGTAAGATTACCGTGTTTGGTTAAAGGAATAAAAGATTATTAGAATGTATATTTGACCAAATTGTCCTAATTATATATTTGTGTAATATTACAAGTTGGAAAATATTTATATATTTTCTTTAAAAAAATTAAATTCATAATATTTATATATTTTTTACAAAATTAAAAATAAAAAAAAGTTTAATGAAAGGGTAAAATTTTATTTAAACCCTTGAACTTTATATAAAATTTTAATTATAGATTTTTTTTTGTAACTCTAAAATAATTTAAGGATAAATTTGTAATTTAACATTCGTAAAATTTTTATTATTCGATGACAGAATAAATATATTTTTGAAAAAAAATAAAAATTTAAGGGCATTTTAGTCCAAAACGCCGGTAATCCAACAATACCTAAGGAAAGGGAGGTAATGACATTCCCGGTAATATACCCCAAAAAATCCACTATTGGTAATCTTACATTACCGGGAATAGGATTCCCGGGCTAACCAAACGGGGGAATGTGGATTCCATTCCCATGGGAATCCCACATTCCCCAATCCAAACACCCCCTTAGGGGGTGTTTGGTTTAAGGAATGTGGGATTCACATGGGATGGGAATCCCACATTCCCATGTTTGGTTGGCCGGGAATCTCAGCCCCGATAATGTTTTATTATCAATAGTAGATTTTTTGGGTATATTATCGGGAATGTCATTACCTCCCTTCCCTTAGGTATTGTCACATTATCGGTGTTTTGGACTAAAATGCCCTTAAATTTTTATTTTTATTTTTCAAAAATATCCTTATTCTGTCATTGAATAATAAAAATTCTATGAAGATTAAATTATAAATTTATCCTTAAATTATTTTAGATTTACAAAAAAAAGTCTATAATTAAAATTTTATATGAAGTTCAGGGGTTAAAAAAAGTTACCCTTTCATTAAACCTTTTTTATATATTTTTAATTTTGTAAAAAAATTAATATAAATATTATGAATTTAATTTTTTAAAGAAAATATATAAATATTTTACAATTTGTAATATTATACAAATATATAATAAGGACAATTTGGTCAAATATACATTCTAATGATCTTTTATTCCTTTAACCAAACACGGTAATCTTGCATTCCTGCTAAACCAACCAAACACAAAATACAACATTCTCAGTAATCCTATTCCCTGATAATATTTTATTCTCACTGGTAATCTTACATTCCGTGAACCAAACGCACCCTTAGACCATTAAAGCCAATGAGTAAATACTCTTATGCCACTAAGGCCTAACATCTCGATTTTATGTCATTTACTCTTTTTATACATATAAGTCATCATTTTTATTTAATTATTAGTATATGGACATTTTAATAATTTTACACTTATAAGAGTATTTTAAAAATTTATACCCTCAAGAGAACTTTAATCATTTAACGAGTTAAATCATCTTATTAATATCATCTAACGTAGTTTAGTCATCAGACATCATCCTCAAGTGTTTTTAGGGCTAAAATAATTTTTCTCAACCTTTAATATTGATACCATATATATAGGGGTATTAATATTCAACCTTATGATATCGATACTCTTGGATAATATCGACACCAAATTGGCGCTCTAGAATCCCTACTCTTGAGCAAAACACTTGTTATTATTTTACACTGCTTGTAAAGTTAATTTTTATTCGATATATTGAATAGTAATCCTCTTAATGGAATATATAAGTAAAGGGAAGTATAACCACTAGATATACATAAAACCCTCATTTACGTGTTGAATATTCAAACCATGTGAAGGTTTTACAAGAAAAATGTTTTACTTATGATTGGGACGTTTCTCCCCAGCTCGAATCAAGTTAAACAATGGTCCTATTTGCTGGTTTAAGATAGACTTGACTTTTTTAAATAATAATAATATTAATAATATTGAAAAATATAGAACTTTGACAAATATTATTCAAAACTTTGTTTAATTCCAAAGAAGATTACATGGAATTTTATATTTGCTTATTGTGTGTGAGCTTAATTCTGGTATTTTTATTTTCTTTTTGTTAACTTGTTGCATGCATATAATATGCTTCATTCATGAAAAAAAAGGACAATTTTTGTAATTTTTAAATAGAAATATATGTTTATGAAACCCATAATTTTACTTTAAATCTTTTTTTATTCATTTTTAGATTATGGGTTTTATTTTTGACAAAACAAAGTCATATAATTTATTAATTATATTTGAACAGCAAAAGTCGTGGAAATCAAATGATTCTCTTCACACTTGCAGAAGGTGGAGTTTGATCTTGATATTTTCCCAATTTATTTAAAAAAAACATAGCAAAGCTGATAAAGTTGGAATTAGTAGCGACAACTTGTCAAATATTTATTCAAGCAGAAATTTAAGAAATTTCGAAACACGGTTTCTTTTTTGTTTGTTTGATTTTGATATCCAAAACTAAATTAAATAAATAATCAATTTATACATAAAAAAAGTTAAATTACTCGGGCATCGAAAGAGAAATTATACATACGATAGTATTTTTAATTAATTATTAAAATAACACTTGTCGGAACTGTCCTTAAGCTTTTTAGGACAATGACGGGATCGATCCAACTTAATCTTGGAAAGTAGTTGGGTTTCAAAATAAAACAAATAAATACTTTCGGAGTTGCCATCGACCTTTGGGTTAGGTAGATCGAATACCTAAAAATACCTTTTAAAATAATTTTGAGAAAAATAATTTTAAAAAATAAAAAATGATTTGCGTTTAACCAGAAATTCATTTTGAAAAGGGTTCGAGAGTCGATTACGCGTGAGGAAGGATTAACACCCCACAACGCCTGAAATCGGTACCTAAGCGATTATACATCATCTAAATATTGAAATTGGCAAATTCGAATAACATTTATATTATGATCCTTTTTTAGAAAAATACAAAGAGGTATTATTTTGCACGAACAATTCTCGAAAATACCTTCCTTGTCAGTTAAGGGGCATTTCCATGGATTCCCCGTACAAAAGAATATTACCCAAATTTTTAGATAAAATACATATATTAAATATATTAAAAAAATTGATTTGAAAAAAATATATATATTATTTTGTTCGAACAATTCTTGGAAACACATTCCTTGTTAGTTAAGGTGCGTTTCTATAAATTACTCGAGTTAAATAATATTTGAAAATATTACAACTAACAGGAAATTTATAAATGTATAAATGATGGACCAAAATAATAAAAATGTTAACTTTAGGGATTAAACTACACAATCATCAATAAATAAAGTCAACCATTGAGAATATTTTACAATCTGAGCATTACAATCGTAAATAAACCAAACTTTAATCATTCAAGACAAAATGTAAATATTTAAAGTAAGGCATTCGAATTAAAAATAATCACAAAGATAAAATAATAAGCATAAAGGGACTAAAATAATATAATACAAAAAATAATAACTAAATCATAAACCATCAATGACTAAAATGCATAAATTGAAGATTTCATATCCAAATCATAATAAAATAATAAACAGAATAATAATAATAGTGGCTAAAATGAATAAAAATAAAAATTTGTGACAAAATTAGAATAAGCTAAAATAATAAAAATGACTAAATTAAAATAATAACAAATTAGAGCACCAAATCAAAATAATAAAATAAACAGTGGACTAGTGACCGAAATATAAAACACATGTAAAGTAGAAGGAACAGTAAGAAAATAAACCAAAAAGTTAGTCTGAGAAAAAAAATAAAAAATCACTAAATCAGTCCCTAAATATTTTTTAAAAAAATTAAATAGTCATTACACATGACCAAAATGCAAAACAAGCATAAAATTACAGGGACCAAACAATAATTAAACCAAAAATATATAACATGAATAAAATGGATAAATTATAAAAATGGTCCCTGTAGATGACCATTTTATAAAAACACGCATAACTTAGGGGGACCTAAGTGCAATTTCCCCCGAAAATTTTCTATAAATATCACATTTTTTTATTTTTTTTTCATTTTCTTCTTTTTAAAATATTTTTATAGAGAGGGTCTCCCCTCTATCTAGAAAACCGGCGGGTTATCGGTGGTTTACATTCGTCGGTCGCCGTATCTTCTGCTGCCATCACCCGTGGCCGTTGGCCACCAAATTTTAGGTATAGCTTAGCTTCCCCGTCTTTGATTTGGGGTCGGTTTCGCGAGAATAGGCTCTGATGTCCACAAATCTAACCGAAACCGTTCGACTTTCTTCTCTCCGATTCGTCACCGTCTGCCGTTGGATTGCCGCCATTTTGGAGTATGTTTCTCACCATCCGCTACTCCACATCTTCACTGTTTGGATCGTCGAGATGAGGTCCCCGCTGCCGGTGAAGCTCCGGCCGAATAGTAAGCTTTCTCTTCTTTTTCCTTTATTTATTTATTTTGTATTGCTTTGAATAAAAAGAGAAATATATTGTATTTTGAACTAGCATAAATTGTTGCTCTGTAAGTTTTTTTTGATATTGCTTTGCAGGAAAAAAACAAGGTCGAGCACCATTTGTACAAAAAAATTCAAAAGGGGTCTCTCTCTTTTTTACAAAACCGAACCTCTATCCCTTACATTGTTTTTCAGTTCGAATCCCCCTCCTAATAATTTTGGGTTCAAATGAACCCTCTCTCCCTCACTAAATTGTTTATGTTCGAATGAACCCTTCTCATTTGGTTGCTATCCCCCTGTTATTTTTTCAAAATCGAGACCCTCTTCATTTGCTTAGATTTTCCCCTTAAAACTGAAAAAGTTCCCCCCATACCAATCTGTTTTTTGCTTTAGTTTTACCCCTTACATGATAGAGAAAAAACCAATTGTTGTTGTCGCGTGTTGCAGTGGTTTTGGATGGTGACAAGAGTAGCTGGTGGTGGCAGGAATAATTGGTGCTTCACGTGGGATTACACAGTGATGGCAGGCAGCAGCAACCGGGTCTAGGTCGAGTCGGTTGAATTGGGTCGGGTTTTGGGTTGTAATTTTGTAATTTGGATCGAATTTGGGTTGTTAGGCCTTAGGTTGTAATTTTTAGCTCATGTGAGCTAGTTGTACTGGTCTGCAAAGCAAATAAAATAAACGTTAATAAATAATAAAATAATAAAAACAAGTCCGACCAAAACGGGTGTCGACAACACTCTTTTAATATTATATTATTCATTCTTTTAAAAAGTGTGTATGCCTTACATGACACTAAAAGGATGCGTTGAAGGGACAAAATAAAACCATGTTAAAAAAATTATATATATTTTGTTCAAAAAGAAAAAAAAACATAGCATATGAATTTTATATTCAATCATTCAATGAATATTTATTTAAAATCTTATATCTTCTTAAATAAATTTAAAATATTATATTTAAACAACTAAAAAACTCAATGAGTATTTATTTAAAATACTATATTTTCTTAAATAGATTTAAAATATTATATTTAAATAGTTAAAAAACTCAATATATGATTGCTATAGAATTTTATTATGTAAATCTTACATTTATATCTAAATTTGTTTAATTCCAATCTAATGAAGTATCGGTTTTTCTCAACGATAAATACTAGGGTAAACTATATGTTTAGTGCCTAAACTATCAGTTTTAGTTCGTTTTAGTACCTAAACTTTCGATTTTTTTAAAATCATATCTAACATTTAGTTTTTATTTCATTTTAGTATTCCGCTGTTAAAAATTAATGTGTTTAGTATATAAACTATAAGTATTGGTCCGTTTAGTACCTAAACTTTCAAAAAAAAAAATAATCAAAACTTAACATTAGTATTAAAATGAAACAAAAACTAAACTTTATGTATGATTTTGAAAAAAATGGACCAAAATTTATAGTTTAGATATTAAATGTGTAATTTACCATAAATACTATTAAACACAACATGCACTATTTTACAAATCCAATATAAAAATAACCAATAATTTGCTGAAATTTGTAAGGAGAAAAACATATAAAAAATTGTAGAATTATTTTACAATATACAGAAGCATTATATATAAAAGAAAGATGAAGTGAAACACTCGAGTTTGTCACATGTTGACTTGAGTTATAGTGCAAGAAGATTAGATCAAACAATGCGTCTATACATATTGCATTTATGTTTTTCAATCAACTATGTAAATAAAAATACAACATCAATCATTAAATATTTCAAAATTTAGAAAAGAATACAATACATGCATTAAATATGCCGTGGCGAACGTATGTGTATTCTAGAGTGGGTATATGCTTACCTTAGAATTCAAATTTCTTTATAGTGGTTGTTCATTTTACTATTGGTGTCCACCATAAAATTTTACTTGTACCTACCTCATATGAAAAATATCTATTATTAATATATATATATGTGTCAATCTTGAAAAATATTTCTAGATCCGCCTAATCAAGCGCAGAACTAGGATGAAATGATGGGAGGGGTCAAGTTGTTTATCTTTGAAACTAACAAGGTTCTAAAAGGTAATTAAACCACAAAAATAGAGGCTTTGAGCTTAATTTTACTAATTTCAAAATTACCATGTCTTAAAATGTAATTAAACCAAATGAATTAGAGACAATACTTAATTTTATTTAAAATTAAAATTGATAATGTCTTAAGAATAATTAAACCAGAAAATTTTAAGAAGGTCAGAACTTAATTGTAATGGTTTCAAAACTTTTAAGACCTTAAAATATAATTAAACCTTAAAAGTCGGGGTGAGCAATATCTCTCTTCCGCCCTCATGTGGTTCCGCCACTTGTCAAAATATATGTGGAGTTAATTGTGTTAATAATCATGTTTAAATATGAGAACTTAAATATTAATTTTGTAATTTTTTCTTAATTTCAGATTTGTTAAACATTTCTTCCAAAGCATATAGAAAATTTGAAGAAAAAAAAGGAGAAAAATCCAAAAATGTAGAAGATAAGGAGAGAAAATAAAACGCGGTATCTGAGGTGGGAAAAATGGATTAGTTTCTACAAACGAGACGGCAAAAGCAGTAGCCTTCTCATAAAAATATTCATGCAAATGCTTTAGTGGGGTTCTCATGCCGTCTGAAATTGATTTATGATATAAAATTGGATTTTATTGTTTGTCGATATATTCATTTTTTTTTATAAAATTTAATTATATTTTAAAAAAAAATTAAAATTCAAATCAATATACTCGAATAGTTTTATCAATATTTATTACAAAAGTTGAATTTGATCAATAATTTTATTGAATTTATTAAAGAAATAAATTATTTATATGCGGAAACACTTTAAGATTTAATATTAGAAAATTACATTGTCAGGGATGGACAAGATTTTATGTTAGAAAGAGTGAACTTATAAAATTTTAGGTGACATAAATATATTATAAATAAAAATATTAAATATAGAAGAATACGAAGGATAACCGTTCTCACACTCTCCCACTCGATCTATTCTTGTATATCATTTGATTGAATATATTTTAAGCATATATGTGTCCACTAAACATAAAGTCATTGAAGTTATGTGTGGTTAATCTTCGAGTCTACTCTCCCAGTCTTCTTATTTCTACTTGCATAGGGCTGATGACTTTGACTGCACATTATTATTACTATTCAATTTGAATTTAATCAATTTAGGAAGTTCCAAACTCAAGGTGTAGGAATGTAGGATGTTGCTTACTCATCTTCGCCGTTTGAACTCCAATAACTGTACGAGGCTGTAATATCTCAACAACTCTTGTCTAAATTCCCCCACATGTCTACGTTAATTTTAAAATTTTAATATTAAAAAATCAATATTTTATCTAAAAAAATATTTTTTTAGTTTAGGATGATTATAAGATAATATTTATTCAGAATTTTATCAGTCAATTGACGATAAATACAAATGAAATTGCTCAAATTTAAAATATCTAAAGAGAATAACACTTGTTTTATCATTAAAATCTTTTAATAGGTCAAGAAAATCAAATAGTGAATGATTTAAAATACAGATTTTGTATGTCATTATATCGTGTGCATGAAGGAAGAAAGAGAAGGAAAGGCAACGGGTCACGGGGGTTAGGGACCAATGGTTTTTGTTGAAAAATGACAGAATAAGAGTCCCTTGTCAAACAAAGATGCATGCCATTTATTATAAAGTTGATTACCATCATCAAATATCAAATTTCACACTCATATTACCTAATAATTACTTAACACTTGCTCTCATTACATGTTATAAAATATTTTAACATATAATATAATTTAAAATTAAATATATTTAAATTTATTATTATTTTTACTTAGGAACAAAGGTATGTTTAAATATTTTAATCATTGTACTAAATAATAATAACCTAAAATTTATACTCCTACAATTATCTTTATTAAAAATTTTGTAAAATAATTATAATTCCACTGTATCAATAATTAAATAATTTTAATATCCTTTTATTTAGGATCTGAATTCTACTTCCTCTTATTATAGAAAACATTTGTAGTAGTAAACAATCTCTAGAAGATGTGGTTAAAAGTAAGGGTGAATAAAATTCAATTTGATTAGAAATTTTTCGACTCGAATTGACTTTAAGTTGAAATTTAAAAACTCGACTTGAAAAAATTTCAAGTTCAAATCGAGTTGTATTTTCAAGTTTACGTCAAGTCCCTTAACTGTGTATGATATATGTATATAATACATGGAAAAAATATGAAGATATATATATATATATACATATTGTAGATGTTTATAAAAAAAACTATTTAAATTAGAATCAAATAAGATCATAATATTATAAATGTTTACAATTAAATTTAAATAGAAACTCAAAAATTCGACTCGAAAAAAAATTTCAAGTCACCTTCGAGTTATAACATAAGACTCGTCAACTCAAATAATTCGAAACTTTTTTTACTCTAATTGACTTGATCGAGCGCTCACCCTTAATTAAAAGTTATCGGTTGACACCTCCCATTTTTTCTAGGTTGTGAGGACAATACTCATTAAGAATAAAATTTTCTTTTTTTCTTCCGTAAGTTAGAATTATTAAAAAAACAATTATAATTTAGTAATAAAAGAATATCAATTCATCTTGACGTTGAATATCTCTTAGAATCTTCTAAAAAAAATTTTTAAAAGGAAATTAGATTTTCATTAAATAAAAACGTAAGATATAATTAAATACAATACAGTTTCAACGTGGAGATCTAAAGAGCATAAAAAAATCAATATTTTCCCAATAAAAATCTAACAACCACTAATGATCTTATTATCTATATTTAAAATTAGATTGATGTAGACATAAAGATTAAGAGAATAATTTAACAGATTATTCCACTGATGATTCTAAATGTGTCACCAAACATCATCATGTGCGTTTTATCATTTTAATTTCATGTATATTATTTGATAAAAATTTTAACCAGCAATTCACCCCTCTTGGAGATAATTGATCTAACAAAAGCTAGTCTCGTGGAATTAAATAAGACCATAGTAATGAAAAGAAAAAATACTATGAAATATTTAAGTGTACATGCTGATTTTGATTATACATCTAAAACAATGTAGGTCTTTTAATCCGAAGGACGGTTGCAAATTCTTATATGGGCTGGCCCATTAGCTTTGATTCGGTATTCCACGTCTGATCCACTTGCAATTGGGTTCTGCACTCAATTAATTATGGACCAATTTTGTTTAGCTTCTCAATTATCATATTATAATTTTGTTTAGCTTATTTTATTTAATAAAGGATACACTCAAGTTTAAAATAATTAATAAATGATGCACTTAAGGAAATGAATTTAGATTTAAAATCGAAACATTATGATAATTTATATTAAATGTAAAATAGATCAAAATTCACACAAACAACATGGAAGGGTTAGTATTGCTAGAAGTTTTGGATTTGAGGAAACTAAAGATTTGGGGAAGTACCTTGGTGTCCCGTTTTTGCACGGAAGGGTTACTAAAGCCACTTATTGTTATTTGTTGGATAGAATGAACCATCGGCTGTCAGGATGGGTGGCGAAAACACTATCCCTTGCAGGTCAGATTACAATTGCTAAGGCGGTTCTTCAGGCAATCCCGATGCACGTTATGCAAGCCACTTGGCTCCCAAAAGGACTTTGCGAAGAAATGGAAAAAATCATTCGTAGGTTTGTTTGGGGAGCAACTAATGGTAGTGCTGGCATCTCACTTGTCAAGTGGGAAACGTTACAATGTCCTGTCGGTAGTGGAGGGGCGGGACTTCATAGCCCGCTTTCTCAAAATAAAGCATTCTTATTGAAAATTGGCTTCCTCCTTATTACTAAGTCTGATAAGCTTTGGGTAAGAATTGTTAAATTCAAATACAAATGGGAGGATCCGCTCCCCATTACACTCAATTGCACTAACGGGTCAAGGTTGTGGAAAGGTCTCCAATGCGTTTGGAACGAACTGTATGATAGTATTGCCTGGAATATTCGTGATGGCTGAGAGACGGATTTTTGGTACGAACATTGGTTAGAAGGTGAAAATAGACTCGACTTCTCCTATAGTGGCTTGGATTCTCCATCTCCTGCACCGGTATGCTCGATGACCCTTCCACCGGGAGAATGGGATTGGATGAAGATTTTAAATGTACTCCCTGCACACATAACACAACGGATTGTTACTGTCCAACCACTCAATATTCGTCTTGGTCCTGATTCACCCGGATGGAGATGAGAGGCGAATAGGAACTTCACAACCAAATCCGCTTATTCTTTTATCATGCAGAATGATATGGATGTGAGAAATATCGATTGGAAAAGAATTTGGAAGTTAGAGGTCCCTTAACGAGTTCGAACCATTTTGTGGTTAGCCATGCACGAACGATTACTCACCAACGTCGAACGCTCGTCCTCACCTTTCGAGTTCGGATATGTGTTCGATTTGTCACTTGGGGGCGGAAGATATGGATCATATTTTAAGACATTGTAGTATGGCTAAATATGTTTGGGGTAAAATGATTAGACATGAGAGGCTACTGGATTTCTTCTCGAAACATTTCAAGGTATGGCTTGGACAAAATCTTAAAAGTTCTGATCGGATGGCCGTGAATGAAGATGACTGGCCTATCAGGTTCGCGGTTTACTGCTAGAAATTATGGAAACACCGCTGCAATTTAATGTTTGATTCCAATATGTACAGAGAGAAAACTTTGTTTTCCATTGCGACAGAATTGCTGGTGACTTTGCTAAGGCCGCTGTACCTGCTACGAACAACTTAGTTTTGCAAGTGAGATGTTCGCTAGTGTGGTGCAAACCAAGTGATGGATGGGTCAAAGCAAACTCGGATGGAGCTGTAAGACAAACTGACAGTATGGAAGCTGCTGGCGGGTTGTTACGCGATTCGGAGGGGAGCTGGATTTATGGTTTCTCTCGTAGCTTGGGAAGATGTTCAATCCTCGTGGCTGAACTTTGGGCTGTTTATGATTTATTATTGCATGCTTGGAGGCTGGGGTTCAGACAAATCGAGTTGGAAACAGATAATCTTGAGGTTACAAAACTATGGAATCATTGTTCTGAAGCTTTAATGGGAAACACGCTGGTTGAGGCCATCTTTGAACTCCAGAGTCGTGATTGGAATATTAAGATTCTACATATACGTCGTGAACAGAACAAAGCTGCGGACTACCTAGCTGCCATGAGTCGAGGTGCTCCTATTGGCTTTGTCGATTTTTCAGATCCTCCGGTGGAAATGGGTGCTATATTGCAGGAAGATTGCTCTATTACTAGCTAGGCTCTAGTTTAATCTGTGTTACCAAAAAAAAATGAAAACAATATAAAACAAGACATGATTAATTAATTTGTAAGAATCTATACAAATATATAGCACTTTAAAAGTAAAAATAACACTACAAAAAATGATTATATATGTTTTTAATTTGACCACTATAATATTATTATATGTAAAATATATTATGAATCGAGTAATGACGCAAACATATTATAAAACATTATTTTTGTTTAAAATTAAAATATCGTACTTTTTAAAATAACGAAGAGGCCAAACGACCATTACACCATACTAGCTTCAAATATACAATATATGTGATATAAAAATAACATTAAATACTTATTGTTTAATTAACATGGAAAAAATATGGATAACACTAAAAGATCTTAATATGAAAAAGGTGAAATTATGTTTTAAAAAATGCCAGTGAATATATATTTTTCACAAGCAGGATTGGAGCATTGACAAGTCCTCAATTAATTTATAAGTTTTTTTTGAACAATTCTTATCTAAGGAGAGAAAAAAGAGAATTTTATTCTTAATGGATATTAAGCTCAAAACTTAAGAGAGAAAAGAGGTGTTAACTGTGAATTTTTAACTACATATTCCACATATTATTGACTTTAAGGTGGTACACCTTAAACTTTAAAATATTTTATAATACTCATAAATGTAATACTTTGTTTTGGTAAATATATGCTTGATATGGTGTTTGGATGATTAATATGAAAATAGTTTCCTCATGTTTTGGTGTTTTTACTAGTGTTTAACGAGTTTAGAATCATGTATGTCTTGAATGGGATCATCTGAGAGGAGTTGAAATTAATTCCTTTGTATTTCTTAGAATTTCTAAATAGGGTTATTGATACTTGATGAACAATTAAAATGTTTTGAGAAAATTTAAGAGAGATTATCGATACTCTACATGAGATAACAATACCTATAAAAGTATCGATATTCTAGGGTTGTAGAAAATTTTAGTATGCTATTTTAGTTTTGATACTTGCATTGAGTGTTGATACCATATATTTTGATACTCTCTAGTTCCTTTTAACCAAAGTGTTTTTATTTTGACATCAATAGTACCTTATAATGACCTTTCGAGTCTAATTTAGAATGTTTAATCCTCAACATGAATAAATTATCCTTTGGTTGGAAAGTTTGGTAACGAATACCTTACTCAAATTCAATGATTGTAACAAACTCAATACAATAGATAAATCGGTTAGACAATACTAAATTCTTTGCCTAGTGGCAATATACTAATAACTGTCTTAACAATAATATATAGATCTATGTGAATGATCTTTATGGATTTAGTGGTTAAAACCCTATTGTGTGACCCTAATAGCAATATTATGTTGGTAACCAACTTATTTATTGTACCCTAATAGCGAATAAGGAAATATCCTCACAAAAAAATGTGTTTGCATAAATTCAACTCACACCCCAGAACATCAACACAAACTATTACAATAAAAATAAAAAAAGCTAGTGTTCAACAAAAAAATGTAGAAAATTGAGTATAAATGGATTTTTTTAACTCAAGGGCGTTGGTAATTGCTTTCTTGTATGTTCTACAACTGTTATAAGGTTCCTTTTATCTCCTCTAATGGATTACTATTCATTTGGAGTTGACGAGGAAACTTTCTAAAGCTCATAAGAGAGATAGAATGTGTCAACTGGAAACTTTCAACCACCCTTTCTAAAGATTGTTGATATTGAGGTTTATATAATTATTAACGAAAAATTCTAATACTCCAAAGAAAAACACTACTTGAATTTAATTGGGACAAAAGAAAAACGTCTATGCAATTCCTTGACCATCAAGTCTCTCTTTTCGAAAAGTGATGAATGTAATTATTATATGAGTCATAAAGAAATCTGACAATTGAGGCGGCAAAGGCAAACCTTCCATATATAACAAATTGGCAATTTCAAAGGTTTATTCTCTCAATCAAAACATGATAGTTAAAAGTTTGTATCTAAAAAGTTGATATTACCCTAAATAAAAGTTGACCAACTTATTTAAACAAGATTCCCGACTCAAGTAATTCTTGTCTCCCTTCACATATCCTCAAGGCACTGTTCTCTCCTCCTCTTGCCTTCAAGTTTCCCACAGGCTTAGCCAGGTAACTAACCCCTATACTAGACTACTACTTGTTAGTTCCATCTCTGTTTACTTTGTTGAGATGGAGAGTCTTTTGTTCATCTTTTCTCACAGGGTTTCCTTTTCTTGCTTTCAAGCTTGACAAGATTCCTCTTCTTGTTTTATATGTCTATATGTAACTCGTTTTTGTCATGTTGAAACAGATGGGCAAACGTAGGACGGAGATGAAACTGATAGAGAATCTCAAGGGTCGTGAGAGGGTTTTTGGAACAAGAAGGAAGAATTTGTTAAAGAAGGCAAACGAGTTATCTATTCTTTGTGATATCAAGGTACTCCTCATCATCCATGAACAAGATAAACTAAAATCTGAGATTTGGCCCAATGATTATGAGGAAGCCAAACAAATCATCCAGAGGTTCAAGCAGCAGCGCGCTACCAGAAAGGCTTTTGATTCTTTTGCCTCTAACAAGATAAGATTTGGCAATAATTTTGCTATATCAGATTACACCAATATGATAAATCACTACTCCAAGAATCAACTTCAAAACTTGATTTTTGATTTGGATACTAAGATTGCTGCTGTTGAGAACCTAATTCAATCGAAACAGGTTCTTACAAGAGACCCCAAGCTACCAAGGACGTCGGGTGAAACAGGGCCCTTAAACAAGGGGAAAGGAATGGAAGTTGTTCTCAACCAAGAACCAGTAAACACCCAACAGTTGCAGAGTTTTCAGAATTGCCCACAGAAGAATTTCATCAGCTATCCTGTGTTTGATCGTTCTTGGCAGATGGATTCCAATGCGAATTCCACCATACAATTTTCTTCCAATGCAAGGTTTTCCCTCTCAGAAGAATACTTGAGGCTAACAAGATTTCTAACTATGGCCACTCGTTCAAACGGGCCCTAAGCTGCAACTTTCTTTTAGTATCTTTCTCATGTGGACTGATTTTTCTTTGGTATTTAAATTTCATCAACTATTACTATTATTGTTGGGAATTTTAGTCTCTTCTGTTGGACATTATATAGATGAAAAATATATTATGAAACTCGGCAACGTTGGATCAATACATTATTTTCTTTTAAAAGATAAACTTTCATTGTGTTGACATTATATCAAACACCTGGGCTGCAACTCTGACGAGGACCCAGACTGCTTGTCTAAAACCATTAGAAAGACATCAAGTTCAACTAAACTTCAATATACTCAAAGGAATGGTTTAGCCACACATATTCATCAGTAAATAGAGTTTGAAAAGAACAACGGTCTCGACATAATTGAAACAGAGCAACATTGTTTGCATTCCTAAGAAATTAAAAATTTTCTGTTGGAATCTGAACCATCTTTAGAGAGGTTGGATTCTAATGATTCTAAACTAGAACCATAACCAATACCTTGTCCGACCCCAAAGCCAAAGCCAATACCACAACCAGCTCCAACCCCAAATACAAGCTTCAAATGGTTCCAAGGCCACCCACCATATCCAATTCCCCCGACCAAGCCGAAACCAACTCCAATGCCACAACCAATACCAGCACCGACGCCAGGGCCTAATGAGTTCTCCTCCACTTTCTGGAGCCTTTCACGGAGAAATTCTGACACTGGGAATTGCTTCTCGTTCTTTTTCTTCTTCATGTTTCCTTTCCATTTCCATAAGGAATTTGTGTCTTTGGATCTGGTTTTCATGTGATTGGACAAAGGGAAGGTACTAGGAGGTTGAGCTGGGGACGTGTGCAACTTGAAAATGAGAACTTTATCAGTTGTAGTGTATAATATGAAAGGAAATTACCCTTTTCAAAATATTTTCTTCAAATCCAAACAGATATCATCTATTGATACAAAGAATAAGGTGAGGGTACAAGTGTTTTCTAGGAATTAGGCGAGAGTTGATCCTAGTGGTAGCTTTTCGTGATGGTGAATTTGCATTTTGACCCCCCAAAATGATAAAAAATCAGTTTAACCCCTTTAAAAATATAAAGTTACAAGCTAATGCAATGGTAAAAATTGTATTTTGATCCTCCAAAAATTTATAATTCAACTTCGGCCCTCCAAAAAAATTTCTCACTTCACTCTCATCACCTTGTAAAATGCAATCATTGTATGTAAAATGGACCGAATCTCAAACAATTGCAAGGAATAATAAATTTATTTCATATGAATGGATTTCTCGTGTGATAGTATGGAATTCCATGGATTAATTTTCAACGTCTTAAACGGTTGATTTCACTAATAAAAAAACTGCATTTATTGAAAGCAGATACTTACTGAGGAAATCAAGAACTTTTGACAGTACACTAATGAATGTAGGAAAACAAGGAATTAAAAAGAACCGGTATTTAACTGCTTCTGGTTTTGCCGCACACAGTGTTGAAATCCTAGCTGAAAGCAAAGCTAATTTAGAAAAAAGCAAACAGATTTTGGAGTTTTTAAGGATGAAAACTAACCCATTCCTATGCTAACACAGTGCATGTTGACTTTGGGGCTGTTTGTTTACTTCAGAATAATTAAGCGCTGAATGATTCAAATGCTGAATGATTCAGATGCTCTGTATGAATTAGCTCTGAATGTGACATGCTGTTTGATAATGGCTCTGAATCATTCAGAATATTCTTCTGTGCTGAATCATTCATCACTGTTTTGCTGAATCAGTCAGCACTGAATCATTCAGAGGTGCGAAACAAACGCACTGAATGATTCCATTAAGAGGCAAACAATAGTGTGACTAGGGGCCCTCATTTTCCTGCTTGTCCCACATCATTCAAACATATATTTCAACATTTCCATTTCACTTTCATCTATAAATTCAAAGTGCCTTCAATCCTTGGGTCTTGACATGAATAGGTCGACGGTAGAAAGGTTAACAATGGACTTGAATCAATCTATGGAGTTCACACCACCTGCAGCCTCTTCACCACAGATTCACAACTTCATGCCAATGACTTCTTTCATGCTACCATTTCACCAACCTTCAAATGAGGTTGCCTTTTTTCCTATATGGAAACCACATTTGCTTTACATGTTATAAACTATCCACATTATTAATTTTGATCTTTTTTATGTCTGTGAAGAACGGTGAAGAAGTGAAACAATCGCATCTTCTGGCTCAGAAGCGCAATCTAGAGTTGTTTTGGTACCAACAAATGATGGACATTCATAATATTTCAGGTCCCTTAATAATTATATTGTTTTGGTAAATATATAGGTTAGTCCGAAATAAAATGTATATATTTGATTGTTCTGATGATTCCCCTTTTGAAGGTAAAATGATTGAATTGGATGTTCCATTGCAGTCGATATAGATTTACCATTTTCCTTTCTCATTTCTTCTGTTATTTTACTTTTCACCGATTGATGTGTCTATCTGTGCTTTTATACTGAATTAAAGCTTTCAAGAGCCACCACCAGCTACCTCTGGCAAGGATCAAGAGGGTTATGAAATCTGATAAAGATGTGAAGGTTGATTTATTACTAATTTTCATATGATTTTATTTTATACAATGTGTGGACTTTGTTGCTTATATTTCGTATGTTGCACCAGATGATCAGTGCAGACACTCCAATATTGTTCTCCAAGGCCTGTGAGCTCTTCATTCAGGAGCTTACCCTCCGAGCGTGGCTGAAAACTGAAGAAGGCAATCGCCGAACCCTGCAGCGTTGCGACATCATCAGGGCGATAAGGCAAGAGGAGGCACTTCATTTCTTGGTTGATGCTGTCCCTTTGATTAACCATAAGGTCTTTTTTCCCCCTTTCTTTCCCTCTGTGTAGTAGCAGAATCTTATACCAGTAACAAAACTATGTTTGAGTTTCTTTTCACCAAATACTCTGAATCTTTCCAGGATGATGATGGGAAATTTCTTGAGGAAAATGAGTATCATCCTGCTAACCAACTGCAGTTTCCAGTGTTGGACATGAATTTTGTGAGCATTAACAAGAGCTTAAAATTGATTTTTGTCCTGTTGTCCTGTTCCTATTGATGTTACAGAATTGTGGTGTAATTTTACTCTGCAATTTACTTTGTAGGAGGTGGCTATGAGTAACCCAGAAGCTCAGCAATTCATGAGTAAGCCTCCTATGTCCTCTAATGATTTCAATTAAGGTGGAAGCAGCAGCATTTACAAGACAAAAATGAAATCTGCAGTTAGTTTTTTTTAATAATATGACATTAAATTGGCTTTTTCTATTTTGTAATAACAAATGATTAGATTTAGACTTGTCTCTCTTTACCAGACGATCCTTTATTTCATAGAAGATTTCCTTAGATTTCACTCAATTTCAAAAGAATACATGATAGGAATATTACCTACAAAATAATTAAAACTTTATGGAGAAATAATAGAAAATAAACTACAATTTAAGAAAGGAAAAAAAACAAGCCAAAACTTTCTTTTCTCAAAGAATTTTAAGTTCAATTGATAGTTTTTCAAAAAGATAAAGATTATTTTCTTTTGACGTTTAATTGAGTATAAATCAAGAAAAATTATATTCGTTAAATTCTTTGATCTAGGTTGATAGTAAATTTAATTATATAATTATTATAACGAGTCATTCATTTTTCGTACATATATATATAATCCGCATATATTATATTGTTGATATGATATTATTTTATCCTATTTGTAATCTCAATAAACAATTTAATTTTCCAAAATATTATAAATTATAATTTTTAAAAATTATAAAATTATGAAAAGTGTAAAAAGTTAAAATAATTGATAATTTAACGAAAAACTAGACAAAAGGACAAAGATACTTAATAATTGAAATAAAACATGCCAATATTAAAATAGGATAATGTGATATGTGTCATATAACTCACTAATTAAACACATATAAAAATATCATATCAATAACATTCGTTCACCGCTAGTCAACTAACGTGTTACATCTAACAAGAGTTATTTTAATCAAACATTAAAATATTAAGGATTAAAACGCTCCAAGAAAAGTTAAATCTTTATAAAAAACGAAAAGTTAAATCTTTATAGTCGTTATATAGACATTATCACAAATAAATTTATATGAAATTATTGTGTTTCTTCTCATACATTTTATTCTCCTCTTCGTCCTCATCATCGTAGACTTGTGTGCTAATTAAAAAGATCAAAATTAAAGATTCGAGATTTTAACATCGAGATTTAAGATTTTTTAATTTGTCAATGGATTAAGGTACACTTCTATATTTAGTTTATTGTTATTGATGATTTGATATGACAAATCTTAATTTAATTTAGTGTATACCAAATTTATTATGATTCTAATCGTTTTAATATTTAAAAAAAATCAAATCAATATAATATAAATTACTAATATATCAATTTTATGTAAAATATAAAACATTTTAAACATGATTATAAATATTGTATCTATGGACGTATCATTTCCTTTATGGTACGAGGGCATGCTAATAGTGGTGAACGTAGTGATTCAAGTTATATTAATATTAAAATATTATATATGTATATAATTTGATTTTTATTTTTTTATAAAATATATTTCTATTACACAGACATAAATATATTTATATAAAAATATACAATTTTAAAATTATTAATTATGCTAATAGTATTTTTGTTAAATGGTCAAAATAAAATTAACTTATAATTTAGTGATTAACGAGACATTTTATTAAAAAATAATATAAATCAAATACAAAAGTAAGATGTATTGGATTTTTTTTCCAGAAATTGAATAAAAGAAGAGAAAATAATCTCAGTGACCAAAAATACCTTATAATATACGATTTTAACTAACTTTTTTTGGATTTGCCAATATGACCAACTAAATCGCAATGCGATCGATAATTCGCAACGCGATCTCCGGTATCGCAAATCAGTTTCCAGATTCGCAACGCGATTCTGACTATCGCATTGCGATTTTCCAAATTCGCGTTGTGATTTTCCGACTATCGCAATGAGAATATATAAATCGAAATGCGATTCTGACTATCGCAACGCGATGCTGACTATCGCAACGCGATGCTGACTATCGCAATGCGATGCTGACTATCGCAATGCGATTTTCAAAGCGCCATTATTATCGTAACGCGTATTTTTTTTCAAATTCCAAAAACGAATATTAATATATAGGAACACTGAACCGTCCACAGTATATCCCGTAATCGCAACTCATAACATAAAACCCTATATCACAACTCAGTCCCATCTCCATCTCTCACTCTCTAAGGCGACATCCGTCCCCATCTCCGACGAAATCAGTCCCCATCTCCGGCAAAATCCGTCTATCTCCATCTCTCAGAGCCACCCTTACAATTATTCACGGTCAGAAATGAAAAATCAACCAAATCAACCACCGAGGGTTAGTTTTTTTAATTATTTTTATTTTGAAATTTTTGCATTATTATTAGGTTTTTCATATTGAAATTGATGATAAGTTTACTGGTAATTTCAATAATAGATTAACCATTTCATTTAGATTGCTTATTAAATTCATTCGATTGCTGCCAATACTGCTAAACTGTTTAGTCTTTAAACCCTGTGAATTTAGTATTTGTCTCTGTTTTGTCTTTTGGTTGAAGTAATGCAATCCATTCAAGTTTCAATTTTAGTATTTGAAACCAAGAATCGCAACGCGAAATAAAAATCGCAACGACAGAATCGCAATGCGATTTTAGTTTCGCGTTGCGATTTTCATTTCGCGTTGCGATTTTCATTTTCGTGTTGCGATTTTAAGTTTCAGAAACTATTCTTCTTCTGCAAATTGAAACTTGAATGAATTGCATTACTTCAACAAAAAAGCAAAGACAAATACTAAATTCACAGTGTTGCAAATTTAAGTTTGAAGAATAAACTACTACTCTTTATGTTTATTGTTCTTGGTATATCTTCACAGTGTAGTTTTTGGTATATCTAACTTGGTATGTTTATTATTTTTGTAGAACTTTTATTCGGCTCAATTGACCTTAAGAAATAAAGTAAATCTGGCCAAAACAATTGCGTCGAAGCTTTCACCTACACAAAGAAATATATTTGAGGATACTTGCTTCGGGCCATGGCTAAAAGTACAACATCCGGGTGGAGATGCTATGTTGACCCATCTGTTTCTTCAAACCATGACTAGCGATCTACCAGAGACTATACAACGTCGTGATGAAGAGATATGGTTTGATTTTCCACCGGCGTATACGTGTTTTGGCGGGAGGAGTTTTGCTTAATCACCGGTCAACGCTTCGGACACGATGATGTAGGTCGGTACACTAGACATATTACCCGCCTATCATGGTTATCCCGGTTTTTTCCTGAGCTGTCAATAGAGAAGCCGAATTTACACGTGGAAGACTTGACGAGATTATTGAATAAAAAAGATGGTTTTACTCGGATGGATGACGTCGATGTTGTCCGAGTATGCCTTCTAATACTTTTGCATGCCGTCTTTTTAGGCAGAGAGGCCAGACAACCTATTCCTAATGATCTAATTAAATTGGTAGAGGACCTAAATGCATGGAACCTGTTTCCGTGGGGTTCGTATCTATGGAAAGCTACATGGAATAAGTTGTCGTCTGCCTTTGATGATCGAAAAAGTTTGCGTGGTGATGGTTCCAAATACACTTTGTCAGGCTTTATTTGGGCCTTTAAGGTAAGAATTTTTATATAATGTTTCCAAAATTATAATTAATTATTTAACAATTACTAATGTTTGTTATTATATTGTTTGTAGATTTGGATATTTGAGGCCTTTCTCGCCATGCAGACATATGCATTAAAAACTTCTAATGATATTCCTAGGGCTATTTCCTAGAAGAGGAAACGAACCTTGCAGCAATGGGAAGATTTACTACCGTATACGACAATAAATAATGTAAGTTAACACAAATACTACCATATGTTTATAAACAAGTTATTACTAGTACACGTTTAACTTTGTTTGAGCTTTTATATTGTTAGGAGGCCAACACTCCATTACAGAGGCTGACACTCACGGAAGCTGAGCTTGCCACTGATTGGTGGCAAGCTAGTAAGCGTTTTTTTTGATGGCACGGATGATGAGTAGCCTCCACTTCGAGAGCCATCACCTCACCTAGAGCCATCACCTGATCTACCCGACTATACACCTCCACAACGAGAGCCACCACCTATTCTGTCACATCATTTGGCCTCTTCTCCACCATCACCTCATGATAGGCGACCGGCAAAGATGCCACGTCGTTTATCTCCCTGTTCTCCACCTCCACGGGATGAGTTAGGGGAGTTACGTGATGAGGTCAATGCCTTGCGTGAGGAGGTCGGTACTTTACGCGATGACAATGGTGCATGGCGTGTTGAGGTGTCCACTTTACGTGGTGAGGTAGTCGCTCTACGTGAGATGGTAGCATCGTTGCAGAATGAGGTTCATACTCTACGCAACGAGGTAAGTTTAATATTTTTCATATTTAACTTGATGATAAATTTACTCGTAATTTCACTTAGATTAACCATTTCACTTAGATTGCTTAGTAAATTCATTCGGTTGCTGCCAATACTGCTAAACTGTTTATTCTTTAACCCTGTGAAGTTAGTATTTGTTTTTGGTTGTCTTTTGGTTGAAGTAATGCAATCCATTCAAGTTTCAATTTGCAGTAGAAGAATAGTTTACTTTCGCAACGCGAAAATGACTATCGCAACGCGAACTTGACTATCGCAACGAAAGAATCGCAATGCGAAATGAAAATCGCATTGCGATTCTCTCGTTGCGATAGTCAAATTCGCGTTGCGATAGTCAAATTCGCGTTGCGATAGTCATTTTCGCGTTGCGAAAGTAAACTATTCTTCTTCTGCAAATTGAAACTTGAATGGATTGCTTAGTAAATTCATTCGGTTGCAGCCAATACTGCTAAAATGTTTATTCTTTAACCTTGTGAAGTATTTGTTTTTGGTTGTCTTTTGGTTGAAGTAATGCAATCCATTTAAGTTTCAATTTGCAGAAGAAGAATAGTTTACTTTCGCAACGCGAAAATGACTATCGCAACGCGAATTTGACTATCGCAACGAAAGAATCGCAATGTGAAATGAAAATCGCATTGCGATTCTCTCGTTGCGATAGTCAAATTCGCATTGTGATAGTCATTTTCGCGTTGCGAAAGTAAACTATTCTTCTTCTGCAAATTGAAACTTGAATGGATTGCTTAGTAAATTCATTCGGTTGCTGCCAATACTGCTAAACTGTTTATTCTTTAATCCTGTGAAGTTAGTATTTGTTTTTGGTTATCTTTTGGTTGAAGTAATGCAATCCATTCAAGTTTCAATTTGCAGAAGAAGAATAGTTTACTTTCCCAACGCGAAAATGACTATCGCAACGCGAAAATGACTATCGCAATGAAAGAATCGCAATGCGAAATGAAAATTGCATTGCGATTCTCTCGTTGCGATAGTCAAATTCGCGTTACGATAGTCATTTTCGCGTTGCAATAGTCATTCGTGTTGCGATTTTAAGTTTCAGATTCTATTATTCTTCTGCAAATTGAAACTTGAATGAATTGCATTACTTCAACCAAAAGACAAAGACAAATACTAACTTCATAGTGTTGAAAATTTAAGTTTCAAGAATAAACTACTACTCTTTATGTTGTCATTGAACCTGCACTAAACCTATATGTTGTTCTTTTAAATGTTTATATAAGTGATTACTTCTGGAATGTTATCTGATGCATTTTGTGAACAATGATAGAATAATGACTTGGGTGAATACCGTGCAAGTTTGAAATATATTTGTCTTTGTTTTCACTGTTTAATATCATGTCTGTTTATTTACTGATTTATTTATTAATTTATTTTTAGCGGCCCGCTAAGGTGGATGCTCTACGTCGGGTTTTTCTTGCAAGACGGAGTTCACGCATCAGACGGCGTGCACGTGCCATTATGTCTCCGTTCACCCTAATAGTGCGAAGAATCCGTAAGAAAAAGCCCGACTCACCTGTCATCGTTCAAGAGGCCTCCCCTATCGTTCAAGAGGCCCCTATCATCCCTCAAGAGTCCCCTCCCACCGTTCAAGAGGCCACTGTAATCGTTGAAGAGGTCTCTCCCAACATTCTAGAGCCCGATTCACACGACGTAATATATCGAATTATTGAGAAATCCCCTCACGTGTCGGACATGATGGATGACTGTTGGCTTTCGTATGAGTTACCGGCCAGTACCATTCCGGCAGATGAAGTGGAGAGGAAACAACTACCGAAAACAATTCTGGATAATACCCTTTGGGCTAAGACCGTAGTTGATTTTTATCTACATGAGCGGAGCCAAGGGTTTTACGCTGACATATACAAACTCAACGATGATATGCATTTGTTGATTGAACGGTCTTGGTGGGGTGTGTTATTAGGGGTTGAAGACAATGACTATTTCAATGGGGGGTAAGTCTTATATTTCTTCTTATATTTCATTTTGATTAATTTTTTTAAATTTATGTAATTCACTAATATATGTCTTTTTTTTGTAAAACAACATATTGATGCATGGGTGTCACGTCTTCTAATAGTAAGAAAATTGAAGAAAAATAAAAAAATATACGATATACAATTATGCCGACGTCTTTTCACGTAGTTCACTTGAAAAATCAACGACATGAATCATATGTGTTGGCTAATGGACAAGCTAAACTTTATCCTGTATGGTGGGAGGTCGATAAGGTTAGTATTTATTTGTTTAAATATTTTAAAGGTGTTCATAAATAAGTGCGCAATTTGAATTATTACATTTCGATGCAGGTGTTTATCCTTGTTTTGGAACGTACTCATTGGCTTCTCGTTGAGCTTCATCTCCTATCCCTAAAGACAATATTATATGACATCATGATAAATTACACATCATTGTCTGATTTGAGAGATATTATTAAGGGATGGAGCTCTCATTTGACTAAATTATTGGATGCGATTAATTATTGGACTTATTCTGGAAACAAGAAGCCAAAGAAGTTCAATGTTACAGTTATCAGAGACGAGACCACGCCACAACAAACGCCGAAAGCCAGAGGGGATTGTGGTCTTCTCGTATGCATGTGCTTGGAGCGTTTGACGACAGGAAGTACACAGTTTCTACCTCCCACCGATAGAGATAGAGATGCAGTAGGCTTGTGGTTTCGGCATTTTATGGCTAGAGCGATATATACGAGACGTTGCCTACCTGCATCCGCGTTATGAAAGTATTCATAAACAATTTGTAAGTGAAATGCAAGTGTTGTTAAGTACATAGAATTCAATAATAATTTGATGTTTGTTGGTTTTAGATGTGTAGAAAGTGTTATTTGAGAAAATGTTTGGTTTCTGCAGGTTAATCCTGAAGTGAGCAGCGTGAAATTGATGTATGGGTGCATAAACAACAGTCTGGGGTACACTTTTTTTTATTGTTTAATTGATTCTTAAAAGTCTGATTTGTTTAATTGATGAGGAAAATAAGAATTATTATCATTTTTTTGCTTGTTTAATTGATTTATAAAAATTGATTTGTAAAAGTTGATTTGTTTAATATTGATGTGTAAATAATTCTTATTTGTGCTTGTTTAATTGATTGAAATGTAAAAGTTGATTTTTTGATTTCAATCTGCATCATATTGAAGGCAAAAGACCTGTTGGAGGTACACTTTCGCAACGCTAAACTCAAAATCGCAACGCGAAAGACAATTCGCGTTGCGATAGTCTAATATGCTTTGCGATTTTCTCGTTGCGATAGCCAAATATCTGTTACGATAATCAAATTCGCGTTGCGATAGTCAAATTCGCGTTGCGATAATAAAATTTGCGTTGCAATTTTCTCGTTGCTATAGTAAAATACCCGTTGCGATAATCAAATTCGCGTTGCGATAGACAAATTCGCGTTGCGATTTTTGCGTTGCGATAGTCATATTCGTGTTGCGATAGTCAAATTCGCGTTGCGATAATCAAATTCGCGTTGCGATAGTCAAATTCGCGTTGCGATATTCAAATGAATGTGTAATAAGTGATAACAACTGAACATATCATAACAATGTTCAAACTCAAGTTACTAATACATGCCTAACTGAAAATGTTAAAAGTTTACACATAAAATACACATAATAGTCAAATTCACGTTGCGATATTCAAATGAATATGTAATAAGTGATAACAACTGAACAAATCACAGCAATGTTCAAACTCAAGTTACTAATACATGCCTAACTGAAAATGTTAAAAGTTTACACATAATACAACGTTTGCATTTAAAAATCACCTAAGTTAATAGTCTCAAAAGGTGAAGCCGGTTGTGATTGGGATTTTGATTACCTTTTTCTTGACACCATATGAGCTTTGGATTTTGATGAGGATCCATATTTTGGTAGATGAAAAGATGATTGTGATGGCACTGGTGATCCACATGTCAACCTTGTGTGACCACTTTCCTTGCGCTGACTACATGTCGATATCTTCTTCTCTTTACCCTTAGACGGTATACGATCGTGACTTTTTGGTCGGCCAGGTAGCCTTCTGTCCATGGATAGTGGCAAAACCGTTTGTAAGTCATATGGTATGTCCCACTCAGAAGGATGTGGAATAGGGTAGATAATCTCGGCATAAGTCTGTCGATATACTTCTTTAGTGTAGCAATCCATAGCGTATGCGCTTGAATCATATTGGTTTAGATGAAGAGCAACTTTTATAACATGCCCACACGGATAACCAGATGTTTGTTATTTCATACAACTACACGTCTTTGCATTTAGATCGACAAGCCCATTTAAGTTATTATCTAGTACTTCAAACAAAGTGTTTGAACATGGTTCAACTCTCCATGACGTTGACTTCACAACACGTTTCATTATCTTTTTTTCAGTCCATGGTGTAACACGATGTTCCAATGTTCCTGTAAATTTAAATAAATAATACTTAGTAAAATATATGATAAGTTACGAATTTAAAGAAATAATACCTGCATGGTTTCTTTTCTTGTAGTACCACTGTTGAATAGAGGCTCGAAAAAACTCCATTAACATAGTAATGGGTAATTTCTGGGAATGACGACTTAGAGCGTTGATTGATTCTGCAATATTAGACGTCATGAAACCATATCTTGCTCCAAGTTGATGTACTCTTGACCATATTTCAAACCCGACATCTTCTAGTGTTTGAGCACACTGAGGCAAAACACGTCTTAAACAATTTATATGCTTATTAAAATCCACTTCCCGATAAGCTTTTACAACCTTCCAGTATGTCCATTTGTGATTTTTTATACCAGCAGACCTTGATTTTAGATTTCTATATAAATGAACACCACAAAGTCCATGAAAAGCATCTGGGAAACACCTTCTAACAGCGTTGTCAATTGAGTTTGCCCTATCAGATATGATTGTCAGATTGCTAATAGGACCTATGCAATCCCTAAGATGCCCCATAAACCATGTCCATGAATAAGAGGTTTCAGATTTGCCAACCCCGTAAGCTATTGGCAGTATCCCAATGTTAGCATCCATGGCTACTGCTAATAAGTTTACTCCAAGGTATCGAACTTTTAAATGTGCTCCATCAACTATAATAACTGGGCGCATGCAAGTAATAAACGAACGAATCTACAAAATCATATACACAAGAAATATAATCATTTAAATGTGAAATGCATGTAACTAACAAAAATGAGTCAAAAAAATTATATTGATTTACTAACCGCAGCACCAATGGAGATAAACAACAACTCAATGCGTCCATCTCTATCTGTTTTGATATGAGTTACCGACCCAGGATTTTTCAGCTTTAAATTGTGACAATAAGCCGGCAGTTGGGCAAACGATGCTTCTGGCGACCCCTAAACAATTCCAAGGCATAACATTTGGCTCTCCAAGCTTGAGAATATGAGATACTAATATTGAACCGAACATTCATGTCCGTCATAATTTCATGTCCCCAATATACCCTGCCATTCAAAAACATTAACTCAGCCAGAAAACCACCCAACACCTTTTTGTTTACCTGTCTATGGTGAGGAAAAACTTGGGTTCTTGAACATGTATGTTTATCAATAAAAGTCCTAACTTGAAACATTTCGCAATCTTTTATCCTCTTTGCAATCATACGCCACGTACAGTTTTTGTCAATCATACACCTTGTTTCGAAACGATCTTTGCTTGATTTGTTAACTTTTAGTTGATAGCCATCTTCCACACATTTCATATACAAAGCTATCTTCAAGTCTTCCTTTGTATCAAAACAATCATCTTTCTTGATACGAATAATTTTTGTGTAACAATCAACTACTATTTTTACCAACTCTTCTTCCGGTATCTGAAGTAATTCTGGCATATTCCAGTTATACTCCCGTGGCATTTTCTTCGGGGATTTATTCTTCTTCTTTTTCTTCTTCAGGGTTATATGAATTACAGAATGGATGTTCAACATGTTCATTCACAGTCGTAACTTCCTCCTCATTATCATCAACAACATCTTCCTCGGCAGCGGCTGTTTCATCATCAAAATTCGGGTATTGACCAATATCAAAATCATTACACGCAGGGTCTGTTTCTTCTTCTGAAACATCATCAAAATCCAAGTATTGACCAAGATCAAAGTCCGGGTATTGACCAAGATCAAATTTCGAATACCGACTAGTACTCACAATTTTTTCTGTTGGCTCATCATCGTCTAACTGGTTAATACGAAAACCGGAATTTGGTGCTGAAAGTTGATTGGGATTTGGATTAGGGAAAGGTTGTGGGTTTTGAGATTGTGTTTGGTATTGGAAATGTGGTGAAACAAAATTTGCTTGGTGATGAAATTGTGGTGGAACCATTAAATTTTGAGCACCATAAACTGGGGTTGAAAAACTTAGTTGATTACTACCCGCTACTGACCCAACTTCACTACTTCTAGGTTCAACAACATACAATGTAACATCATCTTGCGAAACACTAATGTAAGCAATGAATCGTTCAACATATTCATTGTCGGTTAACAAATAAACTTTACCTTTTCTCTGATAAGATAACCTAAATCCACTTAAGGGCTCTAAATTCAATTTATTTGCAACATGTAACATTAGAGTTTCATAAGTTAACTTTTTTAATGACAGTTTTAGTTGAAGATTCATGGGTAAAGGCATATATTGTAAAACACCATGAACATTCTCCCATGACCCTCCAAAACACAAATTTATCCAAACATAATAAACATTAGATGATTTCATTATTGTAAATTAATTTACTAAACAAACGAGCTACGAAACTAAAACCTGTTGCTGGATGGGGAAGGATGTCGTTGGATATAGGAACGGATGTCGCCAGAGAGAGTGATATATGGAGATGGAATGAGTTGCGATTTAGGGATTTAGGTTATGAGTTACTTTTGCTGCGTAGTTATATACCCAAAACATTTGTGTTGCGAAACTAAAACCTATTGCGAATTTGAAATTCAGTGTTGCGACAGTCAGAATCGCATTGCGATAGTCAGCATCGCGTTGCGATAGTCAGAACCACGTTGCGATAGTCAGAATCTCGTTGCGATAGTCAGAATCGCGTTGCGATAGTCATAATCGCATTGCGATAGTCGGAAAATCGCAACGCGAATTTGAAAAATCGCAATGCGATAGTCAGAATCGCGTTGCGAATCTGGAAACTGATTTGCGATACCGGAGATCGCGTTGCGAATTATCGATCGTATTGCGATTTAGTTGGTCATTTTGGCAAATCCAAAAAATGTTGGTTAAAATCATATATTATAAGGCATTTTTGGTCACTAAGGTTATTTTCTCATAAAAGAATACATATAGTAAACGTAACATGAGGAATTACCCCATTAATTATCTATGCAATCCTCTTTTTTCACATTCACAAACACATTTTCTTCAACAATCTGTACATCAAATCTTTGCTTTTCTGCATAGATCCCAAAACAATTTTTTCCCAAGAAGTTTACGACTTGCAAATAATACCACAAATTGAAACTTCATACCCAGTTTTTCCCACCAAAATCTATACTTTGCTGTTAATTAGGAAGCACATTATCTGCAACAAAAAGGCTCTTCAGCTATGGTTTCAAGCAATGGTTTCTTAGATCTTGACATTGATAATCTATGCCTGAACTCTGGAGTGGAAAACTCTTCAATATCATCCAAGTTAAGCTTCGGCTTTGACATTTTCACCTCATTTTGCAAATGATCATCTTCAGCAGCTTCAGGCAAGATCCTTACCTTTCCAGCAAAATTCTTTTTCGCAGCAAGAAACAAAGCTCCCAAGTCACCAGGCGTGACCATAGAGTTCAATCTGTTCGTTGGGAACATGGCGTAAGCGTTGCCACACTCCAAGTCTTCATCTGCATTGAGAGGGGAAAACCTACGGCGGAGTTTCAGAGATTGAGAGTTGACAAGGAAGAAGTTGGGTGTTTCAAGCATAAGCTCAGCGGCTTTGATGTGTGCATTGAATTGCCTGATTTCACCACCGGGGAGGATCACTTTTATTGATGAGTTGCCTAATGGAGTTGATAAAGTGCAAGAAACGTAGTTCCCCATTTTGATGATTCTCAAGTCTTGTAATCGATCTTCTTTGAGTCGTAGGGCGATGGAATGTGTTAAGTACTTAAGTTCATCTTGATTTATAGGTGGATGGTCAAATAATTAAAGCTTTCATAGATTGCCAAATCCGTGTAATTTTCACATCATTATATATTTTTATTTGTGTGGAAAGGGCATGAGGAGACAGTTGTTTGTTGGGTTGATATACAATATTTTACTATGAGTCCCGCGTTAGGCTAACATGGCCTTTCCAGCACATAATGAAATGAGTGCCATACATTTCCAAGCTATTCAAACTCCACTATTTTTATATTTATTTAATGTGAACTCAAAATCATCTCTGTTAAATCGCGTGGACCCCCTTTTTTGCCTTATGTTGTAGGAAATTTCATAGGATTAAACTAATTTTGGTCAAAGAAGAGAGGATTAAACTAAGGGTAAAGTATAGTAATGGTCACTGAACATTTCTGAAGCTTGCATTTAGGTCCTCCAACTTTTAAAACTTGCAATACAGTCCCCCAACATTTATTCCGTTTGCAATATGGTCCCCCAACTTAAACCACCGTTAGAAATTAGGGTAAATTATATAAAAGGTTATTGAACTTTTCAAACACTTGAATTTAGGTCCCCCAACTTTTAAAACTTGCAAAACAATCATCAATTTCATTCTAAACCCCAATTTCCAAAGTAATTCAATTTCATTCTAAACCCTAAATTCTAAAATAATTCAATTAAATTTAATTATTTCAGATTTATTATTATTTAATTTCATCTTATTTCATGTGATACATATTTTTTATATAAATATAATAGTATAATTCTTATCTGTTGAAGAAATTTTTTAATTAAAAAAAGTAGTTAGGATATAGAAAATGTTGAAAATAATTCGAATTTTAAATTTATAAAATGTTATTTTGACGTATAAATAAAAGTGTAAACTACTAGGTTGACAACTTAACTATCTAGACCCTTTTACTTTTGTCATCGATCTTTTAAATTTATCAATCATACAACATAATTATTTAACTGTTTCAACTAAGCCACTAGTCGTTACCAATTGATACAAATGATGAAGTGGCAGTTAAAAGGAATTGACATTATTATACATTCAGTCTTTATTATTTATATAATCAATTTGGTCCTAAATTAAATAAAATTTAATAAATTAATCATTTAATTAGGATCTGATATGTGTTAGCACATGATCATGACACGTGTCATTGGTGACACATGTCACCACCTAATTATTTATATATGCTATCAATTTGGTCCTAAATTAAATAAAATTTAATAAATTAATCATTTAACCAGGATCTGACATGTGTTAACACATGATCATGATATATGTTATTGGTGACACATGTCACCACCTAATTAGAAGAAAATTAAGTTACAAAGAAGTAAAATTTGGGTCTTGGGCAAACTCAAACCTGAGTCACGCAAATGAAAGATACAGGGTGGAGCCACTAAGCTAACACCATCGTTTGTGTTAAGAGATATACAATAATACATATACTAATAGTATGACCAATGCCAGAAAAAAAATAATATAATGGAAAATGGAAATAATGAGATTTGAACTTCGGCAAAAAATTTGAAACCAATAAATGATGGGAAAATATTATATTTTTTACAATAAAAAAATATTATATTTGAAAAATTGTTTGATAGATTTAATATATTTTTTACATATTAGTTGATACAATATTTTAAAAGAATAAATTTAAGATTTATATATTTTTAAACTAAATTTAATAATTATATTTTTCATATTTATAATTCATGATTATATATAATCTTAAGTTGAGTATTTCTAATATAATTAATAATTTTAATTTCTTATTAAAAATAAAATATTCAAAAAATATAAATGATTCATACATTAATATATGAATATTTTTTTATTTATACATCTAAATATAAATATACATTTATATAAATATATTTTTATTCGTATATTGAAATATTTTGATTAAAATATAAACATATTTTAAATACTAGTTTATACAAGAAAAATAAAATATATCAAAAATATAAATGATTCATACATTTAAATATAAATTGAATCATTTATATTTTCTATACATCTACATTTAATAAGAAAATAAAATTATTGGGGGACTGTTTTGCAAGTTTTAAAAGTTGGGGACCTAAATTCAAGTGCCTGAAAAGTTCAATGACCGTTTATATAATTTACCCTAATTTTCTAACAGTGATTTAAGTTGGGGGACCATATTGCAAACGGAATAAATGTTGGGGGACTGTATTGCAAGTTTTAAAAGTTGGGAGACCTAAATGCAAGCTTCAGAAATGTTCAGTGACCATTACTATACTTTACCCTTAAACTAATTGTGTGAGAAAGGCTCCTTTCTAAGGATAATTAAATTGTAATGAAATTACATAAAAAGATAAGATTAGGGATGATATGGGTCGGTTTGGGTTGAGTTTTTGGTTCAGTTTAATTTGATTTAAAAATTAAATTCTTTTATATGCATCTATCTTGATACGGGTTTAGGAGGGTCACACTCAACCCGAGATTTGACTCAATTTTTAGGTTAAAACCTACACCCTATCACGTCTATATATATTTTATTTTTATTATATAAAAGGGTAAATTACAAATTTGATAACTGAATTTTACTCACTCTCCTATTTCACTTAATACATTAGTTTTGTTGTCACTGAGCCATTTTCTCACAAATGGAGTTATAAATGAGCTACTATATAGATGCAAAATGACGTCGTTTTGGTGAAAAATTTGGTTTTTTAAAACGACATTTTTTTAACATCATTAACTATTTGACGACGAAGTGACAAAAAAACTCGATGTATTAAGTTCAGTGAGGAAATTAAAAACTTTTAAAGTTTAGTGAGCAAAATAGGAGAGAGAGTAAAGTTAAGTGATGGAATTTGTAATTCACACTAAATAAAATAAGAACTTAATTGAAAAAATAATATAGAAAAAAGTATTATTGTAATTACCCTAAATATATAAGGGACAATTATAACGAAAGTTTTACAGTGTGACACCCTTAATATACAGTTAAAAAAAGGCACTACCGATTTTTTTATTATTTAAATAATAAAATCGGTAAAAAATTACCTAAAAATTATTATTTCTATCTAAAACATCAATGTTTTTTAACATTTTTGGTAAAGTTTCCAACAATAACAAAATCGGTAGAAATAATAATGTTTCCGGTAATTTTTTATCAGTTTTGTTATTTAAAAATAACAAAACCACTAACGTCTTTTTTTAGCCGTATATTAAGATTGTCGCACGTGATCATTTCCCTAATTATAATATTATATTAGGTTAGATTTTTTTATCCTAAACTTAAGTGATAATATTATATTTATCTTATGTATTGAAAAGTTGCATCATAAATTATTTAAAAGAGTATTGACTTGAGATGAACTTCTTGGTAAATCATACTCCAACACTTAATTAAATATGAAATATTCTTCTAATTAAAAAATAATTTTCCTCTTCTAAAAGTTATATGGTTGACTTAATAAATTTGGAATAAAGGGATTTAAAATAAATAATAATAATTTACTCGTACAAGCGAAAGGAAAGAGCATGTGTGGGTTAGGTTTGACTTTTTTGTATAGTCAACGATAAACAATAGAAGATGGAACACGGAAGGCGGTGGCGATGACGGTGGCAATGGCTGTGGCTGTGGTTGTGGTGGTTGCCCATTGTCCACGTTCTCCCCTCATTTTCCTGCAGCTTCCTCCTTCACTTCTTTTCTTCACTCTTATTTAGATTTTACAACACCGTGGTCATTATTATTATTATTATTATTATTATTATTATTATTATTATTATTATATCAACTCAGTTATAAAAACTACACAAAATAACATATATATATATATATATATTTTATTAAATTTAATGTCAAATAATTCAATCAAATATTTAACTAAAAAATGAAGTGAAATAAAAACAGAACTATAAGGTCCGTTTGTTTCACTGAAAATTTTTTCCGGAAAATGTTTTCCGTAAAATGAATAATATTTTTTGATTTTTTTTTTCAAAAAATGTTTTACGATATTTGGAAGATATTATTTAAACACTTTTTCCACTAGTTGAAACATTTTTCAGAAATTTTTTTATTACAAATATTAAATATAATAAATAATATTATTTATCATAAAACTTAATATTATTATTTTTAAAATATTAAAATAATTTATTTATTATTAAAATGTTTTTTATAATTTTATTAATAAAAATATTAATATTAGTATATTTTATTGCAATAAAAATATTATGAATTAGATTAATTATTTATTAAATTAATAGTGTTATATTATATTTAAAATTATTAATTAGTATATTTTAAATATCTTTATTAAAATATTATTAGATTATTATATTAATATTAAGTATATAATTAATGTTATTCATTATTAATAATTTAATAATATTATTTCCATGAAATTACTAAATAATATAAATTTTATTAATAATTTATTATATATTATTAAAATAAAAATATAATATCTTATATTATTATTATATAATTGATTATTTTATTATAATATTAAAAATATAATATAATATTATTAGAAATATTAATAAATATATTCTAAATATTCTAATAATTAATATTTTAATTAAAATGATATTAAAATATTTTATTAATATTAAATTCATAAAATAAAATTATTTTGAGTATTTATTATTTGAAGTGAAAAGTTCGGAAAATGTCATACAGAAAATCAGACCGTAAGTCATTTTCTAAAAAACACAAAGGAAATTATGTTGATCAAGAAAATGTTTTACGTTGACCATCCAATTTTCCTCCAACCAAACACTGAAAAATGTGGAAAACGTTTTTTGAAAAATATTTTACGTGAAACAAACGGACCCTAAGAGTAAAAGTATTCACGTTGTTCTAAAAAATATTCTTTTTATATACTGCCCATTTGTTTTTACCATAATAAGTAGGGATGGGCATGACTCGGATTAGATCAAATTTTTTGTCAACTCGAGCTGACTCGAAAAATATATACCATCCATCCAACTGAACCCGGCCGGGTTCGACCCAACCCGACCCGATCCGAAATAATATATTTATTAAAAAATATTATTTTTATTAAATAAAAATAAGGATTTAATTGAAATATATATATATATATATATATATATATATGGGTATTATTGTAATTATGCCTATATATAATGTAAAATTATATTTTTCAGGTCGAGTATTTTCACCGTAAACCCAAACTCGATCCGATCTGATTTTATTTTATTTTTTAAAAATCTGACCGGATCTGATCGAATCAAAACCCAATGGATTCGGGTTATGTGTTCATCCCTAATAATAAGTAGGGACAAATATATAAAAGAAAAGTCGAACTTGCCATTCTAAATTTTTTTAATATAATAACATTTTAAAATTTTTTGGGTAGTTCTGTTGTACGACAAACTTAAAATATGATTAAGGAAAGATGATACTGAAAATATTATTTTTTTAATATTTTCGGTAAAATGTTATCTAAAATATTATTTTTTACCGAAAATATTATTTCGGCTAACTAATTTCCGGTAGAACCCAATATTAACATTTATGGTAGAAAAAATAATGTTTAGGTAGCGCTTTACAGAAAGTGTTAAATATTTTAGGTAGCACCCAATATTAACATTTCCGGTATAAAAAATAATGTTTTAGATAGTACTTTACGGGAAATGTTAAAAAAATAATAATGTTTTTGGTAGCGTCTTTCCTTAGTCGTATATTAAGGATGCCTTACCACATTCCCAATTTTTTTAGTTTAACTATTAATCAAATAAGATATTTGTTCCTTTAATTTATTGATTTAAATATTCAATAATTTCTTTCAATATAGAAGAAATTAACCCCTCAACATTGATTCTAATTTTATCCCTGATAATAGGGAAATGATCGGGTGCGGTAGTCTTAATATACGGTTAAAAAAGGCGTTATCGGTTTTGTTATTATTTAACTAACAAAATCGATAAAAAATTATCATAAACAATATTATTTCTACCGGTTTTATTATTATTGGGCATTTTACCGGATTTGATAATATATCTGGTAGAAAAATAATATTTTAGATAGAGCTTTACAGGATATATTATCAAGCTCGATAAAACGTCCAATAATAACAAAACCGGTAGAAATAATAATGTTTAGGTAATTTTTTACCGGTTTTGTTATTTAAATAATAACAAAATTAGTAACACCTTTTTTAGCAGAATATTAAGGGTGTAACACCGTAGAACTTCCCTCGATAATAAGTGCCTCTGAAATTAGTATAAATAGAAAGTATTAATGATGATTGAGCTTATGGTTTAATGCTAAGTGTGCTCAAAGTGGCAATTATGAGGAATCGATTAGTTAATTGAAGATTGTTGCATTGCATCCTTTTACATATTGTATTATTGTCATACAGCACCGGTTGGAATGCCCTAGAAACACCTTTATCTTAAAATTAGGCGTCTTTTTCATAATATTCTTAGAATTGTGATTTTTTTGTTATTTCTTTCAGGGTGTATCTCATTTATTTTTGTTTTAATTATGATTCGTTATTTATATTAAATTTATACTGATATATACTTATAGGATATTATGAAGTTTTATAGTTTAGCTTATATATAATATAAAGGTAGCATTTTTTTGCATGCATCTCAAATACCTCATTTCTCATGCCAGCCAACTTTACTAGTAGAAAAGTGGAGATTTGAAGATGTTGCCCTATTTATGGGACTTTGAAATGAAGGATTACCAGTAATCGGATAATTATATTACCATAATCAACGAGATGAAATGAACATATATCCTAGTGATAATTATTATACCTTTGAAAATATTTTTTTTAAGATACCCTTAGAAAATTACACCATCATTTACTATTTATCCACGACAATCTCATGATTGAATTTCTAATAAATCCACATATATTCGAGTGATAATTATTATACCTTTGAAAATATTTTTTGAATATACCCTTCGAAAATTGCACCCTCATTTACTATTTATCCAAAATCTTGTATTCTCTAAATGCCAATAGTCTCATGATTGGATCTCTAATAAATCCACATATATCCGAGTGATAATTATTATATCTTTAAAAATATTTTTTTAAAGATACCCTTCGAAAATTGCACCTCACTTACTATTTATCCAAAATATTGTATTCTCTAGACGACGACAGTCTCATGATTGGATCTATAATAAATCCACATATATCTAAGTAATAATTATTATACCCTTGAAACTATTTTTTGAAGATACCCTTCAAAAATTGCACCCTCACTTACTATTTATCCAAAATCTCGTATTCTCTAGATGACAACAGTCTCATGATTGGATCTCTAATAATTTGTCAGAGATAGACTTGACGATTATTATCATCATAGATCTGACACCTACCATCCTATAACTAGGGTATTTATACATTGAGGAAAGGAAAATATATGTCATCTCTCTTCTCTCTCCTTCAGACTTCATATATATTTTATGTCTTCTTATTTACGCTATCTTCTCTCTCGCGTAGAAAATTTCTACGACGGTCAACAATCACTTTCTCATTAACTATAATTCTTCACTCTAATAAAAAAAAAGTGAATCGTCAATAACCGATGAACCAAAGTTATTCCTTTCAATAATAATAAACATTATGATTGAATTTCTCTATATAGAAAACACTTCTACCAATTAATATGATGGATATTTAAACATCCATTATTTTGATTTTGGGCCAAATTTATCAAAGCCCAATATTTGTCCAAAAAGAAATTTGCACTCGGGCTTTATGACCAATGCCAATCGCTTAATTTTAAAGACTTTTGATTTTACTACTTAACTTTCGAATTTCGTTGTCATACAGCCGTTAGTTGTGTGATGATAATAACAAAACATTACATTTTGGGTAGTTTTATTGTTGAAATTGACATAATATTTCACCCTTCTTCTTCCTCATTTACGACATCCTTCTTCATTGTTATTTGAGCACCGCCGATTATCATTTGAAACGTACTTGATATCAAAATGTTTTTCTTTCCCCCACGTTTTCTTTTTCTCAATTTGTCTTTTTCTTAAAATCAACAAAATTCAAAGTAAAACTTTGATGTCATCTTGGTTTGATTTGAAATATCCATATTACAAACATTATAGAATCGAGATAAATTATTTTTCTCTTTAGAGACCTTTAACTGTTCGAATCTTAAAAAAAATACTCTACATCAATAATTCAAAATAAATCCAAAAAATCTAGAGTTGGAAGAAAACTTTAATGTACTTTTTGTATAAATGTATTCAAAAAAAAAAATCTAAACAACGTTAGACATTAACAATGATTGAATAGCTAACATTTATGTTTATTGACAATACCACCCAAAAATGATTGAGGATAATCACAGAAGACCAGGAATAAATACCAAAAAGGAAATGGAAGAATAGCTTGTGAAATTTCAAAAAGGAACATGGAGAGGATCAACTAATAAAAGCCATTATTGTGACTCTTTTAGTAATGAATAAATTAGTGAAAGCAAAAGCCACGCCCATTGAACAAATTCAAAGTGAACATGCACACAACTACTTTATAATATTTTCCCTCATCGGCATCTCAGACCAATCATTAAACATTATGAATTCAATGAATAACCTTGGTAGTAAAGGGAAGTGTTGTTTTTTTAGAGATTATGAGTTCGAATAGTTGCGTCTGCATAGGTGTGTGTACATTGTCAATAAACTTAAAAAATATCTAAACAAATGTTATCTTATAATCACTTCGTACTATTAAAAAAATTAAACATTTAGCCCACCGGTATGAACTTTAGGTACATAAGCATGGGTGTGGGCATGCATTTTCGTAATTATTTTAAAACTAAAGAGGTTTTATTTTTTTTAGACCCTACCTTTTCAAGCTTATATACCCTCTCTTTATATACAATAAGCAACTGTTTATCTACTAGCAGACATTTACCTGAATAATTGCTCTCATTTTGTGAGACAAAAATTGAAAAAAAGAAAAGCAACCATTGAGCTTGAGTTCAATTTATGCTCAAATATGCATTTCATCATCTTAGTGACATTGTGACCTTTTATTAATTCAATATTTAAATTTTATCTTTTTTTAATTATAAAAATTAAAACAAGAAAAAAATATAAATTCAAATATTATAAGAAGTGAATATAAATTTATTTTAAAAAAAGAAGATTCATAATGATGGTATCAAATTATTAGAAATAATCACATAAATTAAATAAAAATTGTCTGATACACATATTATGTAAACTTTAGTTTACACAAGTCTGCCTATTTTATTGTCATTGGTCTTATTTAGGAACTGAATTTAAAATTTAAGGTTAAAACAAATAGATTATATAAAATAAAATTTATATATTAAATAATAATCTTTAATTATGCTAAGCATTTATTCTTTTTTTTTTGAGAGAAAAGTATTTGCTTATCATTAACAATTAACAAAAGGATTCTTTCTAAGTATATAATTAAAAACAATTATCGGTCTGTATAAATTGCAAAGTGTTATGTAAACACATTCCATTTCTTCTCTATCTCTATTCTATTTTGTTCTGTTTTTGTCTTTCTGGCAAAGAAAATTAGCAAAATGGGAGTTCTTCACTATATTGTAAACTTTTGCAGTGTCACCAGCACAAGGAGCAAACGCAAACCAATGCAGGTATAGATAATCATTACACCTTCCCTGTCTTTTCTCTATTCCCTTCTTTGTTTCGCAATGAACAATCAAAGAACTTAAAGATATAGATATGTTTGCTTTTCTAGTGATTCTGCATGATTTTACGACTTAATGGTAACTAAAGATGGTGAACGTATTTTTACCGCTCAGACGGTTAAAATCAAGGTTAAAATGGACTGTGATGGCTGTGAAAGAAGAGTGAGAAACGCTGTTAACTACATAGAAGGTTTGATACTGGCAATCTCTCTCTCTCTCTCTCTCTCTCTATGTATATATCCTTTACATGATGAAAATTGTAATCAAATACTATGAACAAATTAACATGCGAAAATTTTGCACTTGTACTTTTAGACATGGAATGGAAGAATTTGAGACAAGAAGCATCATGTTTAAAAAGAAAGAATTTTACCAAATGATAGCTTCTAATTCAAAGAAAGAGAGCTTTTGAAATGACATAAATAACTTTTTCTCTTCAACCTTTGTCGTGTGGAATTAAAGGGAAAAAGTAAAAACTTTTATCTTTTCTCACCATTCCCTTCCTTATGTCGCAAGCCTTTCATCACTTTTATGAAATAAGAACAAAAACAAATCATCTTAAATCACACAATTCAGGATGTGTTCACCACCATGACTGTAAATAGGTGTGCAAACTGTTGAAGTCGATCGGAAATTGAGCCTGGTGACCGTAACGGGCAATGTCGATCCGAACAAGGTGTTAAAGAAAGTGAAGAGCACCGGAAAGAATGCAGAGTTCTGGCCATATATCCCTCAACACATAGTTCATTATCCTCATGCTTCGGGTGCCTATGACAAAAGGGCACCTTCCGGCTTCGTAAGGAATGTTGTACAAGCTTTTCCGGCTTCCTCCAACAGTGTGCCGGAGGAGTATTTCGCATCCTTATTTAGCGATGATAATGTTCATGCATGCTCAGTAATGTAAATCACTTTATATAATTTTGTTTTCCAGTATTAATGTACACAGTATGTAAAATAAATTTCGAGGGTTAATTTCATTATCAGTATGTAATATTTTTGTTTTAATGGTTTTGCAGTGATTTATTACCAATATGTAATAATCATCTCAGTAATGGTTTTGCCGTGGTTTCGCTGTGTTTTAATGCCATATTTATTTTTTTCGTTCGATTCAATAATAATATTCACTTATTTGAATATTATTTTATTATTCTATTTCTCGTATTAATGTTTTATCTAATACTACGTTTAGAGGGGCATGGACGGAGCCTGAATTAAATATTGACAGGAGCCAGAATATTAGACTATTTAAGAAAAATAAAATGACTTATTAGATATTCATACTCAAAATTCAACACGAACCAAGTGACCTTAATAATTAAGGGATTGTTATTGTCCTGGAAGTCTCGAGTTTAAGCACTGCGTATGTAAGTGTATGAGCGTTCATTGTCAAATGATTGAGAGTTTTGTACAAATAATACCTTATCCTAGATTTATATATTAAAAAACTCAAAATTCACAAGACAACACTTAATTTGTCTAATATTTAAACTTACAATGACTTAAATTGTTACTAGACCAAAAATTTGAGAACATGAGGTTATCATTCTTTAGTTAAGCCTCTACTCAATGAAATATTTAATAAATTCTTATATTTTTTAATTTAAATATTTATTTTTACATGAACCAAATTACTATTAGACTAAAATTATATCGAGTCAGGCCCTGGAGGGATGTGTGTGTGTTGTTTATGACTAATAAAAATTATGAACATACTATACTTTATAAATACCGGAGACTATTCTAGAAAAAAATTAAACAAATATCTTTTATGTAACACCCCCAACCCGTATCCGACCCGGATACGAGTCCGAAGTGTCACATTGACTTTTCAAACCTTGACTCTTAAGAAAAATCCCGGGAAATTTTAAACTTTATTTAAAACAAAATACAGACTTTATCAGAGTGCTCGTACTTAATGACTTATTACATGCCAACACTTTATACATAACCAAAAACATACTTTGTCAAATATTTCTGATCTGATCTTTTGGTAAGGAAAACTGACCTGTCTTGCTCCGCATCTCTCCTTACTCTTCTCGAAACCTACGTGTGAAACAATCACACGCTAAGTCGAAGACTTAGTGAGGCATAACAACTTAATGCACTTTAAAACCTATATTGATACATGCATGTTCTGTTCTATCATGTTACAGCAACTTCATGCATTTTTCATATCGTATAAAATCATATCAGATTAATTGCAGTAAATACATGCATACACATAGTTCATCATTAACAGTTTATCATATAATCACATACTATTTCAATCAAACACTATACACACACAACATCATATCATTTCTATAGCATTTATCATACCACTAACTTATATTTGTTCATATTTCTGGATTAGCCCATGTATATATGTGAGAACTATCGATATGTGAGTCTATAGAGGTTGTGCACTATGCTGTCACCACAGCTCATATAAATGCACCGAAGTGCCCCGTAGAATTGCACCGAAGTGCCCGTAGAATTGCACCGAAGTGCCCGTAGAATTGCACCGTAGTGCCATATAATGATGTCCATAAGGACCACGTAGAATTCCTTAAGAATCATATACATATGCTAGGGATCAAGTATGTGTCTTTCGAGACTTCACACATGTTCCAAAGAATATACATATGTCCTAAAGAACCGAATAGACCCTCGACTCTTGGCATGCCAACTATACCCCTAGCTCTCATGACACATAACATGGGCGTTATCATTTATTTCATTTCAAATATTCACATAAACTTGTAATTCACTTTCACATATCACGTATCACATAGCTTCTTTTCATATGATCACATAGTCCCGTAGTTCACTTGCACGTAGATCATTTCCATATAATTCACATGTCACATATGTCATGTTTTCATATAATTTCTATCATTTCTCACCCAATCACCTTTATTCATATAAACATACTTATCATATCTTGTTCACATAAGATCATATACTTCATATAATATATCGAAACACCTAGAACACTTTCACGTAGCTTATAGTCATAAGTCTTATCTCATAACCTATACTTGTTTTCACATATATATATTTCATAGCATTTCTTATACCATCACATAATTCCTTTAACATACATAACATATCATGTAACATTATAATAGCAATACTTATAAGTCATATTGCTTATATCTTAATCTTATGCCTTCTCTTAAACATATATATATATATATATATATATATTCACATGTTCAGGTAATTCACCATTTCATCACATAATTGTGTATTCATATAACTCATTTCATTTCATTTCATTTCATATCTATCTATATATATCTATATCCTCAAGATTATCCTAATATAAATCATATAGCACTCTTATATTTCGTATTCATCTAGGGCAGACTTATAAACATATCTCACTTCTATTATTTCTATATATATAATCTAATCTGTTACTTAATTCAATTTCATATCACTCTTATAATCTTCTCATATAACTTCACAAATTTCTATCATTCAACCCATGTGTTATAGTTTTATTTAAACCTATGAATCTTTCCCATCTAGCTTATCTTATACGTTCATCTTATCATTTATGTTCAAATCCCCTAGTTAGTGTACTATTTTCACTTCATCCTATAGATCAATATTATCCAGCTTATTTCACTTATCATATAATAATATAATTATATTTTACTATGATCACATAGTTTATATCTCATACTTTGCTTTCTCATGTTCACCTATATCATGTCATATGGCTCATATCTTTCTCATGCAGTCACATAGTTCAGTTTCACATATGTATATATATACATTATATAGCACATACTTCTCATAACATTACATTCAAAAGCATGTCAACACATATATTCATGCATACATACAATTCATGTCATTCATATACGTATAATCATATATTCATGCATTCTAACATAGGAAATAGACTTGTCGCAAGTCTTGTTTCCATTTAGCACCATAAACTAACTAATATGCACTCACCTGGCCTCACTAGCCAATTCCAATCTCTTATCTTTCCCTTGATCGATCTTACTTGCCAAACGTTCCGGAATTGCTTTATGCGTAGAATCTACATAAATGTACATTTCGAGACCATCATTAGGTACCTACACCTTGTAATTGGATACTAGCAACTTAAACTAACTTATTAAACCCATATTCCCAATTTTCCTTTAGGGGGAATCGGTTCCCCCCTATGGGGGTATCGGTTCCCCCATGACATACTGGAAATTCTTGTTCGTTTGAAGGGGTATCGGTTCCCCTTGAATGGGTACCGATTCCCCTTGCCCAGAAATCATATTTTGAGCTCGAAAATCCTTCATTTTCAGCTCAACACATCATACTTCATTCCCTTTAATATTCCTAACTTTCATACACATACTTAAACTCATTTCTACTCCATAATCACTTCTTTAAACTCAAAATTCTATCTTCCATATAAGATTCAAAAAAATCATACCAAATTTTCAATGTGTTCTAATTCCCATTCTATCACTTTATATCTCTTAATTTAATCCTTGACAAGTCAAATTCAACTTCACAATCTATTAACTCCTTCCATATCAAAAATTCACTTAAAAACTCATTTTTCTTAATTTCTCATAACTTGTTAATCTTTGAGGTTTAAGCCACTTAAAGCTTTCCTTAATCTTTCTTAATATCCCAAGAATCAAAACAAGCTTTAAAACGAAAGAATTAACCAACTAAAGACCCACTTACCTTATACCAAGCTTCACGGTTGAGAGGAGGAAGAAGACTGAAGAATGCTCTGGACTCTTCTTCCTCCGTGCTTATTACCCTTTAAAAAAAATTATAAAAAATCTTTCTGGTCAAATGACCATAATACCCTTAATTTCCTTTAATAAATACCAAATAACCTTCAATATATATATTCAAATAATCATTGAATTCTTTCATTCTTCTACTTTAGTCACCAAATTCTGAAACTTTACAATTTGGTCACTAACCCGGTATTGCGGATGTTACAAATCTCCCCTCCTTTTAAGAAAATTCGTCCTCGAATTTTTTTTTTCGTATATACATTCCTCTTCTGTTGCTTATCATATAACCAATAGCATCAGTTCTTATCACTCAAAATCCTTAATCAATCAAATTCTTTATCAATCTTTAATTACCTTATAACCATACCAAACTTGTATTTCGTCATCATTTGACCAAAACACAACTTTAAATCTTCTTCAATGTGATTAAATCTATACTTTAAGGAGTCAAACAATATTTTCACATCACTTTGTACACTTGTCTTATTTCTATATCAAAATTGTCCTCGGTACTTCCATAGTCATCGTATCTGATCCTTTAAATCAATCCCTTTCATTCCTTTATTCCTTATTCCTTATACATAAATCATATATTTCCTTTCATGTTCACATACTCTTGTCTTATTACTTATACTCATCTTTATGTACCAATCTTCATTGCATCCTCATTACTTTAATAACCCATTCCTTATACATAACTTCATTCTTTATCATTCTTATTCTTGTATTTTTCTTCCTGAAGGTTCCATGCAAATACTTATCTCAGTTTCTACATCATAGCTATCTGCTCAGAGTATACAACCATATTCAAATTCACATCATAATCAATTAACTCAACTTTATCTTTTCCTTCAATCTTATTATTCTATCCCTTTTACTCTGACAGCTAGTCAATAATATATGTTCAATCTAGGGTAAAAACCCTAATCAACCAACACATACATCCTGTCAAATCGAAATTATCTTAAAAATTCACTTACTCAACTTATCAATTTCACCTCTATTCTCATATATCCCGAAATTTCTTTTATTCATACTCAACATTCTGACTTCCTGTGTCCTATAATCTGATTATCGATATACATATTCTCAAACTCTTCTTATCAATCCTCAGCGTTATTTAAATATACCAATTCTTACTTCCTTTTTCCTTTACTATACCACATTACTATGATCCAAATATGCAACTGTATCCAGATCCATTGCAGATCTGGTTAT